TTATAGATCTAACTTCCATGTGATTCATAAGTCATGAGGTCATAAATTAATGGGGAAATTGTTTTTAAGAAAATGTTTGGATTGGCACAGAGAATATTGCTTTAACCGAAAACTTCTAATTGTAGTTGAGGGATGAGAATCAGTTGGGAGTGACTTTCTAAGCTATTTCAAAACTGCAGAGATATCAACTCTATTCATTTAAAGATAATTTTAACTAAGAGAGAGATTTTTGTTAAGGCCTTTGGCTTACTAGATAGTACATGGAAACTACTGAGCAGCTATAGAACAGTGGTCCCTGACCTGTCCAGCTTGGTGGACCAGCAGGGGGGCGGGGAAACGGGACGGGGACGGGATGCTTTTGTGTGAGTGGCAGGCACACATGCATGCAGCTCCATTTGCACAAGTGAGGGCACATGCCTGCAAGTGGAGCTTTGCAAGTGCAACCACCCATCCGCCACTCATGCAAGTAGAACTGCACACACACACATGCTCCCCTGCCCCTTGTGTGGCCCGGTTCAGAATAGTTGGGGACCTCTGGTGTAGAATACAGAGAACGAACTGGATGCTTTTTTAAAAAACAAAGCAAACCAACCAAACCAAAAGCTTCAACGAAGGGCTGAAGTAGTGAGTTCAATCTTTACAGCTTCTTCACTGGCAGTGCTCCTGATGAGCTGCTGCTTCCTTTTCCTAATTTTCAGAAATGGATCTATTTGCTCTTGTTTCTCTTCATGGCACTAGCAGGATAAAGTAGGATCACAGTTAGGGATTAAAAGTTATAAGAGTTCAAGGATAAAAAGCTATATGCCTTAACAGCTCCATACCAGGAAGAAATACATTGCTATCATGGATAACAACAGTTGTATTTATTTCTGCCTCTGAACAGTTTATACTAGCATTGCTTTTTTTTCGGTTCTTGTATGTTTTAGGATACGTATTGTGAGTTTTATCCTGCAAAACACAGAAATTCCAAATACCAAAGGTATGAAAAGCTCTTTCCCTGTATTAGTGTAAATATAATCCATTTGTATTTTATTTTCACTTTGCAGTGTCCTTTTCACAAATGCAGCTATGATCGTCAGTCAGTGTTATTATTCATCCAGAGACACACCCCACTATGGGGAGGCTTCACCCTTTAGTCCATGTAACCATCCCTGCAAGCTGACCCAGCTTTCTGATGAGTAGTAATGATGTGATGAACTGAAAAAAGTGTTTTGTGTTTTTTAGTAATGTCACTTCAGACAAAGCAATCAGATGCTCTTAGGGTCAAGTGTTTCATTTGTAATTGCAGTGTGGCAGATTGGAGGCAGTGTTTGTAGGATGACAAGGTTCAAATTCCACTCAGGAATAACTCATGCTTTGTTACAGAAAACATTTTGTACAGTATACAAAACTCCTGGATTGTCATCTAATGACTGTTCAAACCTTTGAGATGCAGAAAGAATACTCCCTATGTTCTTTCTCTTGTGTCATTTCTTTGCTGCAGCTCCTGTGGAGGGTGGATGGGTGTCAGGGTCAGGTTTGCTACTAGAGTGGAGGGAAACACGCACAGATTTGCTTGCTGTTTGGTTCTTTTTAACTGAAGTTCCGGGGCAAGGAGAAACTCCAAACCAGTTACCTACCTGGAGAGCTAGTGTGATGTAGTAGTTAAGGTGTTACACTAGGAACAGGGAGGGCCGTGTTTGTAATCCCCACTCTGCCATGGAAGCTTACTGGGTGATTTGGAGCCAGTTCAATCTCTTTCAGCCCTTCCCTCCGTGGAGGCAAACAGGAGGAGTGTACAATGTATATGCGACCTTGAGCTCCTGTACAAAAGATGAAAATAAATCAAATAAATAAATCCGGGCCTTCATTTTTAAAGCCTGCCTGTCATTTCCTGTTTCTGGAGGCCACAACTCTTATCACTCCCTCCCAATCAGCAGAGCTAATGATTGAGGGCAACAGGATGATTTGTCATCTGTGGACTGCAGGTTCTCCATCTTCTGATTTAGGGCTTTAATACTGAAGACTGGAAAATTACACCTGAGAATATTCAGGCAACAGCGTGGAGCTAGAATACAGATCACATTAACCTGTTCTTAAAGCTGGTGCCAGTGGTCTTTTAAATCATCGGAAGTTTCCAAAATCTTTTCAAAGGCAGATATAAATGATTTAGCTTGCAGTAATCCAGTTTCTCCCCCTAAGGCACAAGTCAGATAATTCAGTCTGCTTCTCCCCCCACCTCCATGACGTGGTTATACGCACTGCTGACTCAACAGCCCCATTTGGGCAAAAGTAATTTCTTTTGTCATCACCTGAGAATTGACAAATAATGCAAACCTGGTTTTTGAATAGGATATTTACACCACCTGAACAAGCAAACCAGATCATTACCATGGAATTAGCTTTTAAAGGACCAGGAGGAAAGCTGTTTATGTCCAGAATTAAAAATAAGTTAAAACAATCTGTTCAAATAGCGATGAGGTTTTGTAGTTTGCCCTAGAAAAGGCTGGGGTACTGTATTTTAGTTTAATCAATTTTGGGGAATTGTTTATTTAGCTCAAATACTAATTAGCCCTAGAAGAAAGAATGTTTATCAAATGAATGCGTAACAGAAGAATTATCATTATCCTTAATTGTCATCCACATTCTAATATACATAGATGCTGCTTTGAGATATATATGCTTCAAGGAGACATTTACCTGCCATGCTTTGTAAAGATACTCACTTAAGTGTCTGAAAGAAATATCCTGGCAGAACTTCATTTTGGGGGGAGGGAAAGGTCTTGATCTTGTTTCTCTTTTGCTACTAGAGAATCTTCATGACCTGATAAAGAAGAAAGTGTTTGAAACTGCATTTCCTTTACATGAGGTGAGGAAGTCCAACCTAAAGCTGACAAATACAGTTATTAAATTAAATAGCAGATGTGAGCTTAGATTGAATAGTGGAGTCGAGTCTTTTGTCTTGATTCTTGGATCCAGAGATACACCCTTACAAGTTGCTCTGTGTATTAGGGATAGTGGTGGTAAGAGAAGCTTCACTGGTATTTAATTAGAAGAAGAGGCTAAATTAAATGTCAGAAAATATATTTGCAATGCATTAATATAATCAGTAGAAGAAAAGCTTTGTTTGACAACTGTGTCTGTATATATCTATTCAGCATCTTATGGGTATTGATTGCTCAGGACTGTAAAATTGTTTATAGAATATATCATCTTCCAGTTTTAACATGTTTAATTGCATTATTTTATCTAGAGAGAAAATCTGGGTAGCATTCTGAAAATGAATTGGGCTCAATGGAGAAAACTCTTCCGCAAGCAACCAATTGGAGAAATCAGGTAAAGGACAGAGGATTTGGAAACTTTGATGAGGATGCTTTGAAATGTGAAGTTACTATAATAAAAATACCATCATGTTAACTTAAATAGCTTTATGTGTTCTATTTCCTTATCTAAAGGGCAAAGGAACATTTAAATAAGATTGAAATTGTATTCTTTGTTTTGTTTCTGAATTGAGATCATGCTGTCACATGATGTCATGCACTTCACTTAACAATCTGCTTCCCTTGAAGAAGAGATGGTTCTTTGATATTTCACTGATCTGATCCCAAGATTTAACCCTGCTATAGCTCTTGCTAGTGCCGCTCAATTTTTGAACATGCTTTAATAATCCAGTGCTTGGAAACGGAATCACTGGATTTCACCAATGTTCAGTGCAATCTGTTACTCTTTTTTTGCCTCTGTGACTAGCTTCCATTGAACTGCTTTTGTAAAATAAGGTATTGTCTTGGAAATGTCTTCATTTAGTAGAAGTTCTTTCAGATCCAGAGCTAGAGGATTTATGTCAAGGCAAGCAATGTTATTTGGACAATTCTTTCAAGGTATACTCTTTCCTTTTCAGAACATATTTTGGGGAGAAAATTGCTCTTTATTATGCTTGGCTGGGCTGGTATACACGTGTCCTGTTAATAGCTGCTGTGCCTGGCTGTATTCTTTTCATCTATGGCTTCCTCAGCTTCAGTTCCAGTCAGATCAGGTGAGTTACTCTATTTGCTTGCGAGAATATGGCAGAGCGATGATGAGGATGAAGAATGCGGCCACCTTTGAATGTTTAGAAAAGGAAGCCACTCTGTTGGTCTTTTGGCATTGCTTCCTGCAGTGAGCAGGCATCTGAGGCATCTAGAGAAGGGAACAATGATTTTGAGCAGGCTACAGCTTTCTCCTCTTTAAATTTCTTCTTCCTCCACTTCCTCTTTCCTTTAATGGATTGGTGGATCCTCCAATCTATAAAGCCAGTCATGTACCCACATTGGACCTCTCCTGTCAAGAGCAGGCAGGTGTTGAAACAATTCCAAATATTCCTCAGCACTCCGACTGCATGGTTGCTTGGTCCTTGTTCCTCACCCCTCATGCAATGTTCTTTTTATTATGGACTGGAACCAATTCAAGAGTAACACTGGGAAGGAGAAGCCAGTCCACCGGTAATTCTGGAGGAATCTTTCCCAGTTGTTGCCTTCCTGTGTGGATACAGTTTGAAAAGAGGCAGAATCATTTGTCAGATTTTTTTGCTCTATGTGGACCCATTTAAGTATGCCATGGAAATCTGGAACTAAAGAAAGGCCCATAACCAATGTGAAGAGCAGATGGGAAAGAAGAGTTATTAAGAGCACGCACTTGAAGAAGTGATATTATATGAGGTGTACTAAGCAAAGAAACAAATGTTAGAAATATTAGATTAAGTATTTCCTAATATTTATCCAATAAAACAACATCCTGGGGGATGTTGGATGAACTTACAGAAAATCAAGTCTAATTCCTTGAATATTGTCTGCAATCCTGCTGCAGTTTTGAAAGGGGAGAATACAACCAATCAAATAAAGAAACTACTGCATCTGATAGTCACTAGTTTTTCCTGGCATGTCAATGACACTAGCTTCTATGGATGATACAAAAGGTTCCAGGGGAAAAAAATGGCACAGGCTTTGCACAACCAGAGAAGCCATGGGTGTGGTCTGGATGTTGAAGGATCCATTGTCAAAATAACAAGGACTATCTTGCCTGTAAATCTGTATTATGTCATATATGATGTTTCTGCCAGCCATCGGGAGATTCAAATGCTACTCAGTTGTTCAGTTGGATGTGACATCCTTTTTGCTTACTGTAGAATGTCATACTGTATAGTTCAATTTTATGATTGTGTTTATGAATATTTTTTTCCAATAGAAAACATGCAGGGTTTCTCTGGTTGAGCAAAGACTGCACCACTTTTTTTTCCTGGAAGCCATATACATTTCATCATGAACAGACCTGTTATGGGAAAGTGCTCAGAATTTTTTCTGAGCTTCTAGGTTGGTTCATAAATTGGTAACAACACCCATCACTTCCTCTGACCAGTACTCATTTGTTGATTGATTCCAAATAAAAATACATAGTCTCAAAAAGCGAAGCAAGGCCAGATCTGGATAATACTTGGGTAGGAAATATCCAAGAAATCCTAGGACTGTAGGCTGACCTGGGAAACTGAAAAAATATCCCAGAAGAAGATGGTGAATTCATTTTTTTTTTGGAAAAAAACCCAAACACTATGAAGTCACCAGGAATTAGGTTTGGCTTGAGAGAGTCTTTTCCAAAGTGGCACTTCATGGTTGGGCAGATCTTACCTGGTATGAAATTATGCATCTTGACAGTATAATGTAGGCAATCATTGCCCGCAAGGAAGGCCAACAATTAGACCCATTCTCAAAGTTTTGGAAAACTTTCCCACTTTAATGCTGGATAAGGAATATGGTATATTGACAACTTGATATTTATGTGACAAGGACACAAAGTGACAAAAGATTTGACCTCTGAATCACATGTGTGTATATGTGTGATCTCATTCCATGCATCTGTAGAGATGATATCATACTTCCTTTGCACTCTGAAGAGTGGTACAATCTAATAATTGCAGGATTTTTTGCAGTTGGCTAACCTAACAACCCACTTTTTTCTCTCTAGGATTGTTTCGTACCACATTATTACTTAAATATCATCAAACTATTGCAGTTTGTCATGCTTTGGTTGTAATGACACTTTGTGATTTCTTTTTGTTTTTATAATTATAAGATTTTCTTCAAATACTCTTTTATAACCATTATTACATTTTCTGATGTTTTTGTGTTTTAGATGGTTTCTAAGAATAGCATGAGTGACTTTTAGATTTTTAACACATTGTGAGCCCTGAACTATTTTGGGAGAGGGAATTCCTTAAGGGAAGTCTATAAATACGCTTAAATGGTAGTTATCCAAACTGACCAGGAATATCTTATTACTTCTGCCATAATATTGACATACTACATTTCAAAAAATGTAACAAGTAGAGCAATTGATCACCATTTATGAAATTTTGCAGGGATGGCACAGATGAGCATGTCAAGGACAACCAATATCAACTTGTTTAGGCACTGTTTTGGCTGTCCCCTGTTATTTAATTGTGGGGATAATAAACCAGTAAATGTTCAATTTTGTTACCTCTCTGATTTAGTAAAGAAATCTGTGAGGCCAACACTACCATCATGTGTCCACTCTGTGACCAGAAGTGCCCGTTTTGGATTTTATCAGACACTTGCACATATGCCAAGGTAAGAACATAAAATATCTTACTTATCTCTTGTGGTGATCTTATGATTCTAGTACTTCTGCTATCCAAGAAACAGAATATCCACAGGTAGTTATGCTTTCTCAGTGGAGGCTGGAGAAAAGTACATTTTGATCTGCTTGGAAGAACTAGGGAAGAGCCAGGGGACCAGAGAATAGCAAATGTAGTCTTCTTACATAAAGAGATAGAGAAAAAAAATGGTCCCAATGGGGGGTGGGGTTAGCCTTCAATACTGAAGTGAGTGAGGCCCTCAGAGCACAACTACCAGAGAATGGGGCAGGACTAAAAAGGCAATGGAATTCTGAAAGAACAAAGAATCATATTCCCATGAAAGTAGGGAGTTGAAGTACCTCTTGGAGTTACTTCCTTTGTTTTTGGCTTGCCTCCCAGCATCTTTTCCCACCTGATCAACAGACGTGGGGCATCTAAATATTTTATGGCTAAACTGAGAGTTCCATTTCCCTTGTCAAATCAAGAGTCATTTGATTTGTCAGATGGGCACTATATGAATTTGAAAAATAAATAAAAGAATGAATAAAGAAATAGACATTTATAAAGGGGGTAGTTGCTTAATTTTAACACCACATAGTTCCACGAGTGTTTTGAGGAATTTTAATGTATAGTCTTTAGCTTGACTCTCAAATGCTCTTTCAAAAATATCTTGAAGTTAATGCCATGATTGCTAGAAATCAGCATTACTTTGTCCAAAATAGATAAAAAGAGACTTCCCTTTAGTGGACAAAGTGACTGCTAGGGATGTAATCAACCTCAGTTTCAGGAAAAGTTTTGACAAGTTTCCGCATGACATTCTCATTGCCAGGCTGTTAAGGAGCAATTTAGATGCCAAGACAGCTCAGGGGATCAACAATTGGCGAGCTAACATACTCACACAATAAAAATTAGGGACTTTACATTGAATTGGGGAGACGTAGCCAATTATGTTGGGACCAGTATTACTCAACAATTTAATGACCTCGCTAAAAAGGCATTGATTGGCTGTTTATCATAATTGGGAATGAAAGAAAGTTGGAAGGTCAAGCAAGCACTCAGAATAAGAGAATGAGATTTCAGTCTAAACTGGACAGTTTGGAAAATCTGGTCTGAGAGATCAAGATATCCTATAAAAGGGAGAATTGTAAGGTTTTGTATTTAGAAAGGAAAAATGTGGGGCACACATCTAAGATAGAGAATGTGTGGCTTCGAAATGCTATATTGGAGAAAGGTGGACAAGCTGAACATGAGGCAACTCTGTGAAGCAGCTGCTAGAAGGGGTTTGAGGGGATACCCTAAACGGAGAAGCTGAACGAACGTGGGGTGGTTAGTCTGAAAAAAATTAAGACTAAAGGGATGACATTATATTTGTATTCATGTATTCATGAAATGGTATAGGTTCTCCTATACTAGAAGACCTGGAAGGTGCTTTCACTCATTCTATTCTATGTATGTAAAAAGGTGCCATGAGGAAGATGAATAGGAATGAATTTTCCGCTGCTATAGGAACTAGAACCAGAAATAATGAACACCACTTACAGTTACATTTCACTTAAATATAAGAAAAGAATTTATGATGTCTTTATGATCTGTATCATAGTTGAATGGTCCATCCATCCATGTTCACAAGGGAAGGGGGGCATATGTGATCAAAGAAAGCAGAATGACAAAAAGCAAAATTGTGAAAAAAAGCTACACACTGTTTTCAAAGAACTCTAGTGATTTAACTCTCCTCTTTTTTTTTTTAACCGTTTAGATCACCCATATGGTTGACAATGAAGGGACAGTTCTGTTCGCAATGTTCATGACTGTCTGGGGTAAGCGTGCGGATTGGTTTAATGAGGAATGCTGTTTTTAAAAAAATATAAGCTCTTTTCTGTCCACAGAACAATCCTTTCTCCTCTTCATTGCCAAAATATTTTGTGTATGTTTGTATATGTTCCATTATATTCTTAATGTTCCCTTAGAAATATATATCCTCTGCATACTTTGGCTGACTCAATAGACATGGGCAGTAGTTGGATAGGAGATCACTGGGAAATACCAAGGCCGTTACATAGATGATATTCTATTTTAATATAAAATATTTTTAAAAATATTTTTTTTTCTTTTAAAGGCAAGAGGATATGAATAGCAAGCCACTTCCATATGGCCATATGACCAAAGGCATAAGGCTTGATTCAAAGGAAACATTGTCTTTATATACCCTAATATACTTTTTGAAAATAATAGCTACTGTTTTGTTTTAAATGTATTCCATGGAACTTGGAGAAGTGTACTAGGTTACCTTGCAATCAACTCTGTGCATTAGGCACAGATCTTGGTATATAGCTTTTATAAGCAGAGTTGTGGTAGCTCTTAAATGCCTTCTATACATTTTATAAAATGAATTGCTCTGTACTATGCAGAATACTGGAGGATTCATGGAAGAGATTGAAAATGATGTTTTTGCTATCTCTGTCTCTCTCTTTCCCTCCTTCCTCGCTCACTGCCTTGCTCCCTTGTTCCCTCATCCCTCTTTATCTTATTTATCTTTAATGTACAGCCACTTTATTTTTGGAGCTATGGAAGAGATACAGAGCTAAAAAAGTCAATCAATGGAATATGTATTCATGGGATGAAGAAGAGGTAAGGCCAGTGCTTTTCTCGTACGTAAGAATATTCTTAATATCTCTGGTGGCAAGAAAAACCTTCTCTGTAATGGTTTTAGTACAAGTACAGCTACTACACAGGTGCTGATGTCTAACCCGTGTTGCAAAAAGTAAAATAAAACAAAGATAAAACTTCTGCTTGTACCTTAGACCCAGAGTCAGCAATTTTTTAGGCAAAGGCCCCCACTTCCCAAGAGTTCCATTATGTTATCTTGCGCAATGTTTTGAATACTAATAACTGAAATTAAATTAAACCAATCCATGTTTACATGTTCCAAATGCTGAAGGAGATTCCATGGGCCTTGCTTTTAGCTGTATCCTATCATCTAAATAAAACAGTCTCAGATCTCTGAAAGAGAGCATTTTATTATTTGGGACAATTGTGTAACACTATATAAAATAGCTTCACATGTTCAATCCTTGATTTATGATGCTATTAAGATAGTAGTAGAAGCAGAGCACTTATTTGCATATAGAAAGATCTGTCTCTGGCATTTCCAGGAAAAGGTACAAAAATAGGAAGCATTTGCCTTTTTTTGTTTCATCAGTCTGGGAATATTTTTTGCATCCCAATTGCTTTCTGTTCCACTTCTGTCTTTGTATGCAATTGTTTTGCATATTTTAATCCAATTCTCTCACATCTATAGTTTACCCACAGTTAACCCTAAGGAACAGACTTTTGCTTACCAGATTATGATAGTTTTACAATTGCTGAATTATTTGATTGCTTCTGTTAGATTCTGAGGATAATTTACAGAGATAGCTAATATGCTTTCACCTACAGTAGAGGTTAGAATTTAGGCTGCATAGGCCAGTCCTTATAATCATAATATTCTACTGGTGGCTCTTATTAGTGCAGCTGAACACAATAGCAATAAGCCTTATAAAGTGCTTCATAGTGCTTTACAGCTCTGTCTAAGAGGTTTACAGAATCAGGATATTGCCTCCACCATTTTGGGTCATAGTTATACTGACCTCAGAAATATGGAAGGCTGAATCAACCTTGAGCCTGTCAGGATCGAACTCCTGGCAGTGAGCAGAGTTAGCCTGCAATATTCCATTCTAACCAGTGCCCCCCCAAAGCTCTCACTCCTAATTTCACCATGGATTTTTGCTTTGCTGCAGAACTGGAGAAGGGGCAAAAGTAAATGGCAAACTAATCATTTAGTATGTTGCTGCTGATTATATACATTTTTTAAAAATCCAGAATTTGTCCCTGAAATACAGCATTGCCATAATTCAAACACTGATTTCAAGCATTATCTTAAAGCCAAGTCTCATTGACTACAAGAGACCATGAGGAAATAAAATTGGAATAAAGGAAAAAAAATCTCTTCTCGCTTTAATAACCTCAGAATTTTAAAGCCTTCAGGCATTTAATAAAAGTGTGATTACTATTACCACTGGGATCACAAAAGTGGTAGGAATGAAAAAGCTAAGAGTCAGAAGTTGTAGTATTAATAAAACTTTCTTCCTTGTAGTTCCTTTCCTGAACAGAAGAAATAATGATGTTTTCTTCCCATCTTTAATACAAATGGAAACCTTAACAAGAAGTTGCTAAGTGTGACTATACTTCTTTCTGTAGGAGGAATTGGCTTTGGAACTCATCAATAACCCTGAAAATACCTCTGAGGAGTATCAGCATTCATATATCCGCAGTATAATTGTGCTTATTTTAGCTCTTATTATGGTACGTGGATACTGTTTTCCTAATGTACTTTTCATATTTATTTTGTATGTTTATTAATGGTACATATTTAAGAAAAATACTACACCTTTGGAGTATAATTAGAAGAGATTCCTATAAATGAAAAGGCATTTCAAAAGATTTTTTTATTTCTAAATAATAAAAATAAGCAATGTTATATTTGCCTATATAATAGGCAAAACATGCATTACATTTTTTTCCTGATCTTTACCTCTTATTGTGAAAGAATATGCTAGCTGGACACCAATGGCATATGTGAATAAGATACAAGTGTTGCCTCAACATTTAGGCACTGAGTTTGTGTGGAGTGAATATCTACTGCCTGAATTTGGGAGAGAAAACAAGTTTACTTTTGCAATGGGGCTTTTTTGCAAACCTGAAAATATGACTCACTTAAGTAATTCAGGCAAAGCATAAAGATTTATTAAGGGTGGGAAATGTCAAAAATTTTAATAGACTATAGAAACAAATAATACATACATTCAGTGTATGTGATAGAAAGCAAGTGATCAAACAATAAAAGACATGGATTTGATGTGAAAATTGAATCCAGAAAGCATTGTTTCTACATAATATTCCACAAGTGGCAAATTTATCGGCTACATCACCCACTTTCCCAAATGAGTCTGTATCTTAATATATTTGTAAGTATTTAAAGACTTCCAGAATATGCTCCCTATTGTTTAGTTGTTGGAAAGACTAGTTCTTGCTATCGAAAGAAGAAATGGCTTTCTTTAAAAGAAAAACATAGTTTGCTAAACTTTAAAAGGAAGTATGGATGCCACACTAAAATGCTAATATCACTTTTATTAAAATGCAAATAAAGAAACCTGAATACCCAGACAGGTGACACAATAATCTCCTAGAAGGACAGCTGACAGTATCACTTTCAGCAGTTTAAATCCTCAGTTTATTTTTCTGACCAGTACTACTTTGTCTAACCCATAGGCTTACTGTATATTCAAACAGAAATGGATACAGGAAATGGAAGTTTTTTCTACATTTCAGTTCTTGCTCCCATTAATTAACCCTACCATTCAGCTGTCCTGGCACATCAATAATCTTAAACTTAAAAGATGGTCCACTTTAGGCAAAATTTGTATTCTGAAGAATTCCTAAAGGGACTTTGTGCTGCTCCTTCAAAACTCAGACACACATTCAGATCCCATTTGGGAGCTAGGAAAGTAATGGGGAAATAATTCTGGCCATTGTGATACTCTCCAATAAGTTTCAAATATTGGAAACTTTTATGAAAATCAAACCTTCCCTTTTATGAAAATCCCTATAGATGTGAGATGGAGCTGAAATTTGTCACAAATCAGCAGATTATTTTCAGTTTCACAATGCAGCAGGACAACTTTTCCAAAAAGAGAAATTCGGAAATTTTATTTTTAGAATATTATTTCCAAAATCTAAGGGTAGTAGAACTTTATATAGGAAAGAAATGGCAGAGAGAAAAGATTCACAAGCCACCTTCTGTTGCACCCTCCTATAAAACAAAAACAAACAAGCAGAGCTTTCAGAGAGGGAATATGAATTAGTCAGCAGCTAAACATTTAAGAGTTTATGGCACTTTCAAGACTAATAACTTTATTATTTAATCAATATAGGCAAACCATGTCTTTAGATGGAATTGATGTAGTTTCATCATGCTTATCTGAAACTGATGGACCACCTGGCCTTCCACTGTTCTGATGTTTTCATTTTTCCTTTTCGGTGGTATCAATACTTCCTTTTTTCTTTTTCTTTTAGATATGTGTGCTGATTGGCATGGCCCATGTCTTGGTCATCTACCGGGTTGTGGTGACAGTAATCTTTACTCAGTCCAATTCAAAATTCCTTCAAGAGAAAGCCACTACAGTGGCAGTCCTGACGGGTGCAGTGATGCATTACTTGAGCATCATCATTATGACCAAGGTACACACTGCTGCTTGTTTTGCAGGTGTCTTGTTTTGCAGGCACTCTGTGTTGTGGTTCGCCGGCAGCCTGCGCAGATGACAGCGGAATCAGACAGTGGGGAAGAATGGGGACCAGTCTGGGAGTCTGGATTGGACTTGGACGAGGGTCCTGCATCCGATGCAGAGATGGGGCTAGGACCCTCTGGGAGTGGGGTGCTGACTCTGGAGCCTCCGGAGTCTGGCAACAGCGAGGCAGAGGAACAAGGGGAGCCTGTTCCCAGTGTGTGTGTGCACAAAGCTGCTAGAAGGCAAGAGCAGCTGAGACAAAAGGGGTGACTCAGGAGTAAGGCTTGGAGGTGATTGCCCCTCCCATTAGGTATAAAGGACAGGCAAAGGTGAAGAAACCTTTGTAGGAAGCAAAGTCGTTTGTTCTGTTCGGATTAATCCTTGAAGCTCTGTGCAGACTTTGTACTTCGATTTTTTATAGTTCATTTGGCACTTTAGTTATTGACAGCAATTCAAAGGAAAGAAATGTGGGTGCTTATCTTGAGGGACTGTTTGGGACTCATTACGGGCTGGGAATGAACATAATTCCCAGTGTTGAAATAAAACAAGAGTTGTTTTAACTAAGCAAGTACTTAATTACGGTCTTGAAAGCCTTGGTCAGAATACTTTGCACTTGTATAATTTGTATTTCTATTGCAGGTGAACAAGTATATTGCACACCTTCTCTGTAAACTAGGTAAGAAGCATCTGATGCTGTGTACATTCATCTTTCTATTTGAGTGTGTGTGTGTGTGTGTGTGTGTACTGTAGCCTGTTTTCATCTGTTGCTGTCCAGCTGTTTTGGACTGTAACTTCTGGCAGCTCAAGGTAGCATGGGCAATCATGCAGGATAAAGCAAATTGTATTTCAATACAACTGGAAAACAACTTGATAGTTAAAGATTTCTGTAACGCAGGGATGTCAAACTGAAGGCCCGCAGGCCAGATCTGGCCCTCGGGATGCTTAGATCTGGCCTGCAGGGCTGCCCTTGAAACAGTGAAGGACCGGCCTGCGGTGCCTCTGCCAATGAAAACGGAGTTCAGGAGAGCCACGTGGGGCCCACTGGGCTCCATTTTTGGCTATGATGACCTCCTGCAACCCCCTGCCAGCAAAAATGGAGCTCGGGAAGGCTGTGTGTGGCCCACCCAGGCTCTGTTTTTAGCTGAGACAGCCTCTTGCAACCTTCTGCCAGTGCAACCAAGCTTGAGAGGGCTGCGCACGGCCCTCCTGAGGTCCATTTTCGCTGGCAGAGCACTCGGGCCACCACAGGCATCCTCAATATGCATGACGTCAATCTAGCCATCCCCACCCTAGCCATGCCCACCTGGCCTCCCGAGGTCAAACACAACAACCCTTATGTGGCCCTCAATGAAATCGAGTTTGACCCCCCTGCTATAGGGGATGAGTGAAGACTCACTACAGAGATGTTCAGTGCTGCATGAAAAATACATTCTTGAAACTGAGTAAGGCATGCATGAGACAAGACCAGTTGTCCCAAGGACTGTAACTGACTGTATGGTTTTGTGCTTTTTTCCCCTAGAGAGGCCAAGATCATTCAGCGAGCGAGAGAAAAGCTATACAATTAAAGTCTTCACCTTCCAGTTCTTCAACTATTTCTCTTCTCTGATCTACGTTGCTTTCTTCCTAGGGAGGTAAACAGTAAGTAGTGAACTTGGGAGAGTTAGATATTGGGCATCTGCAGGTATTAGAGCTGAATCTCAAGATCTAAGTTTTACTGAAAACTTTGCCACATTCTGAAACTATAGGATTCCTACCCTCACTTCTCCATTTATCCATGTCCTTTGAAAATCTGACTCTAGTTTTTGATGTTTGAAATGCTGCTTTTTTTTTTACCACTGTTGGAATTTTTTTATGTATCATTCTATACATGATGATTATCAAAGCTATAATTAGGATTGGAAACAATTTATATTTTAATCTCACTTCCTTATTAGGATTAATGGCCATCCAGGATCTTATGTACGTGTGGCTGGCAAATGGAGACTGGAAGAAGTAAGCTACTTTATTACAATCCCTTTTTCCCACTCCTCTCTTGATCTCCTATTAAATTAATTTCTTCTTTCATCTCTTTTTATTCATCTCTTAGCATATTGGGATGGTTTAAATCTTGGCTCCAGATGGAGATTATTCTGTTGCTTAAATCTTAGTATGACTTTTGACTTGCACTCTGAACAGTCTATAAAAGTTACCAGAAGGAGGCATATATGTGTTCATGACAGTAATGGGTAGGTGTGGATGCAAGATACATAAAACAAATTCAGATCATGTACTTAGAACCAATTGGGTCGATCACTCTCTCTCAATGTCATATTTGGTCAGATGATTTGGGAGAGGATAAAATGGAGAAAAAGAAGACCTTGTATGCTACCTTGAACTCTTGGGAGGGAAAGCTGAACAAAAACATAAGAAATGTACAGATGTGCATCATTTTCTAGTTTTTTCCTCATATGCCTTTTTCAGAGTGAGAGTACCAAAAAAAAAAAAAAAAATTTGAAGCATACTTCAGTTACAACACATTCCTTTTTCTTTTTCTAGTGTCATCCCAGTGGTTGCATGACAGACCTTTTCATTCAGATGTTTGTAATTATGACATTAAAGCAAACTTTCAGCAACCTCGTGGAGTACTGGCTTCCGTAAGTAGATCAAATTCATCTCCCTCTTTATTTTTCCAGATCATTGCACATTTACAGCTCAAACGAAACTATTTTGTGTGTGTGTGTGTGTGTGTGTATACGCATGCAATGACAATTTCAATTCTGGGAAAAGAAATTATGAATTGTACTTCTTCTTTGGCTTCAGGGCAAGGAAGGAGTTTTGTTCTTTCAAACCAGGTGAACCAATATCTAGGAATAGGGTGGGGCCTCTCTTCCTTTGGAGTTGTGCTGCAGCCCATATGCTTAAATCATCAACATTTAGGATACAACATCCTGCGATACAGTTAGTTTCTTCAACCTGGGTCTTTGCCTGTGAGATATACAGCCTGCATTTTTATATCGAATAGTTGGAGAACCATGGCATGAAGGAGGCTCTCTTGCAGTTGGCGATTGTGGAATAACAACATTCTGTGCCTTTTCTTTCTACTATTGTGATTCTTCTCTCGTGCACACATATGGTAGCGCTCTATAAGCACTTTGAAGTAGGGAGCGAGGGCAAGGACCTCATTCACGTGCCTGGGCTTATACATATGGTTACAACAGTTTGCCCCATTGTGGGAATCCTTGAGCTGGTAAACTGCACAAATATTTCTTGAGCTGATATCAGGCAGCTTTTGCACTTAAAAAAATTTTTTTTTGTCAGCAGCCAGAGGGCAGCACAGTGACATAATGATGATGTACAGAGTGGCAGCTTTCTGCAGGATTACAATTATTATGACAGAGGCGGCACCATTTTTATTTGTTTTGCAGTGTAAAGGTGCATTAAGCCTCTCTGGAACTTAACCCATTTGATTTCTTTATTCTCCCAGTGAAGTTTGATTGGAAATATGTTGTCAAATTTAGCTGACAATTGAAATTTCTCTGGGACTTTGAAGTCTGGAAGTGGTTTTGGATCTGGCAATTGCCCACCTCATCATATATAGAGAAGAAATTTAGAAATTGCCTCACTTCTTAAATGGAACATGGCTAGTTGTTTTCCAAGAGTTTCTACCTTAATATAGGTGAGCATGTTATGGATCCCGTCTACAAAAGAGTTTCATCTAATGGGATCCGGGAAGAGAACCTTTGGTGCTGTGGTACTGACTCCTGGCAATGTCATCTTTCCTGAGGTTAGATTGGCTCAATCTAAGAGTGCCATCAGGATCCTGTGGCCACAGAGACCCTCCAAGATAGCTGTGTTGTCTGTGAGCTGTCGGCTGGCCTTTTCATGAACTTTTTTTTTTCAATGAAGTCCTTAGTGCTCTCTCAGTTTGGTTGTTTTCTTGCAGACATTTCATTACCCAACTAAGTAACGTCACACTGAAGAAGCAAGCTCAAGAGAGCACCGAGAACTCCATCCCTGAGCTAGAAACATTCTCTTCTATTGATATTTTTTAATGCTTGCAGTTAATTGTTTTAAATTTTATTTATATGTGTTTGATTTTGCTGTTTAATGTGTGAGCCATTCAGAGTCAGGTGAGATGGGTGGCTATGTAAATTTAAAGAAATACCAAGGGAACAGAAGTGTGATCTCCAGTGTGAATCAAGCCTATGAATAACTGTTTTCTTTGCAGGAACATTTGAACGGTTATTTGGAGAGAGATTTATGAAGTGTTCAGATATCCTAGCCTTTATGAAAAAAAAATTAACTAACAAAAATTGTGAAAAAGAAAGACAATCTGATTACCTGAGAATTTGGGAAAATGGGAGTTGGGGTTTCCCATTTGGGGAAGTCATCAAGTTGCAGGATGGGTGGATTATGTCTGTTGTTGGCCTCCTTAAGCGTAGATATTCATGAGCACCTTAACAGTCGACAGCTGTCTTCTTTTGAATTTCACTTTCCTTAATATTACATATTTGCCCCTTCAGTACCCTAACCTACAAGTGCCGTCTGCTGTACAGAAAGCCCCAAAGGATTAATGTGGAGCAGATATCCCAGGACTCGTGCAAGGAGGAATGGCTGTGGAACTATCAGCTCAATGAAGTCAATGTCTTCACCTTGTTTGATGAATACATGGAGATGAGTAAGTGAAGTTCAGTGGAAAAGCTCACAGAACATTATAAGACACAGCAACCTGCCATGCGGGTCAAACTAAGGTTAGAATGCTGGCTGTTTTGTCAGTCAAAGCTACACAATAGTTTCGAGGAACATGAGAATAAAATACCTGTATTATTGCATTGATTGCTTTCAGTTCTTATCACCAATTTTTGAAAGAAATATTCTTGATCATAATGATAATGTTAACATCTGGAATCCAACTTGTATATGCCCAGTACAGTTAAGGTATTGCATTGTCACTCATAAAGCGCAAGCATTCTGAACTAGAGCTCTGAACTAAACTAAGATGTTTTTTTAATGACAGATGTTTTCCTTGGAAAAGAAATAGACATTAATGTGCTCTATCACCTGCAAGTTCTTGGACTAGAATATGCATATCCCTTTTCACCCAATAAATTTAGTAATCGAAAGTTTGTGTTGTTTAATTTCCTGCCTCTTTTTAACCTTTTCTTTATATCCATAGTGATCCAATACAGCTTCACCACTATTTTCGTGGCTGCTTTCCCCCTTGCACCATTGCTGGCCTTTATCAATAACCTTTTTGAGATTCGGTTGGATGCTATCAAAATGGTGAAACTGCAGAAACGAATGGTGCCCAAGAAAGCTAACACCATTGGTAAGATGCAGGTCAAAGAGATTTTTTTCCCCCAGCCCATTTGGTAGGCCTGTTTCATGTGTCAAAACAGCAATTTTACTGTGATAAGGTATTCTTTTGATGCAGCTGCTTTTAAACAAGGGGATAGAATTTTGGGATTGAGTCAAATGCTTTGATGGTCTTTGAGGTCCAGAGCAATACATCAACTCAAGCCTTATGACTAAAACCATTGAAGTACAGCCTCCCAAGTCAAGATATAGCTAGGTTTGGCCAGAGCAAGAAGATCCAGATAGATGCTATTTGGAGAATGAAAATGAGAAATGCAACATTCCCAGTTTACTCTCTCAACCAGTGTTTCTCAACCTTTTCAACTCCAATGCCCAGAATTCCCCAGCTAGCAAGGTTAAAGTTGCCAAGGTTGAGTAACTGCTCTAAATAACACACAGGTCACCACATTGTTCCATATCGCTTTTTCTCTCAGAGTAAGAAAATTCTTGTTATGCCAATTAATTAATTGCAGCCTATAGTTCATTTATATTCTACATTTTCCACATATAACGCTATTCAAAGCAGTTTGCAGGAAAAGGACTATTTTTCCCTATGTGGGGCAGGGGTAAGGATTCATTACAGTTAGGGCAAATTCTCTTTCTTCCATATATTGACTAAGACAGTATCTCCTTTGTTTTTCACTCCTTTTACAGGTATCTGGTACTACATCCTAGAAATAATTGGTATACTCTCTGTCATTGGCAATGGCCTAGTTATTGCCATCACCTCAGATTTCATCCCCATGCTGGTGTACCAATATACATTCAGTCCATGCAAGCAGAAGAACAATACTGGCATTGAGTTAGTATTTTCTGAAATTCTAACATGGCTGTTAAATATAATGTATAGTTTATTGGTTCTTTATTTAAATAAATATATTGTTCATAATTTTCCTCTAAGCTTAAGGCTACTAGAATTAAAAATATGATTAATCCTCCTCATTGTTTTTCATCATAGGAATATAACTGGGTTTTTAAAACATTGTATGTTTCTAAGGATTAGTGAGCTTGTATTTGTAGTGTACCTGTTGCTTCTCTTCCCTGTTTGTTTGACATGTTTATCTATGGTAAATAATTGTAAATAACTCAGTTCAGTAGCTTGATTCACATGATGAGATGAACCACACAGGCTGGCTTCCCACTACTAAGCAATCTAAAATGTAGTTAAATAGCTGTGAGTGTCATGTGCTTGTGGCCTCTTGGTGTATGGTTATGGAGAGGAGTAAAAAGGTAGTTAGATTAAAATGAAGGAAAAAAATTAGAATTAGCTGAATAGAGCAATGCTTGAAAACCACAGAAAGGGAAATTAAATAGGTTTTTAGATTGGCCACATTTTGCAAAATGTGTGTGACAGAATATACCTGACTTTTCCTCATTAAAAAATAAATATTGTCCCTTTATTGATGGCCTTCTTTTAATCATAGTACATGCATGTCCTGTAACCAAAAATATTGCACTGAATAACAATATCTCCCATGCTCGAACATCAAAGAACCCAGTGACTTTTAAGCACTTTCTAATTTAATCCAGATGCATATACATGAAATATGTTTCATGTAATAATGAGATTACAGTGTTAGGGCAAATTATTGTATTAGGCAAGTAACTGTAATTTTCAATTGGAAATCTGAAACATGGCATGTCTATCAATGTTGCTAATAGGAACGTCAAAAGAATTAAGATTGTAAGTATATATTGTAATGAATAGGACTGGACATGGAATGGGGCTTTTTTTCAGGATCATTTGATATCTTATTCCATGGCAGTGCGTACAGTAAAGAGGACTTATGATAGAGGACTCTATCATCTATCCCTCTATCGTTATCTAACTATCTAGCTATCATCTATCTCCTTGAACCTGGGATTTGTTCCTGCTGCTTTTAAAGGAAACAACTATAAGACCTTTACTGACAAAGTTGTTTCTTGACACAGAAGTCCTTTCCAATTATAGCCCAGTATCAAATATTCCATTCTGGAATCTGAAAAATGACTGAAAAAGTGATGGACTGATTTTCTGGATTAATTTCAATCAGGGTTTTATCTGGGATAGGGTACTGAGGCTGCTTTAGTCACCTTGGTATATCACTTAGGTAGATGTGAAGGGGTACCAAAATCTTCTTCTATATCTACAAGGCATCTTACAAGGTTACCTTGAATGTTAGAATGAACCAAAGGGGAAAGAAATGACTAAATAAAATTCTCTTCTTGTACAAAAAATATTTTACAACCTACAGAATTGCATACTGACTATTGCTTTGTTGTGCTTCCGTAGCTGTTTGACAGGTTATATCAACCACAGCCTTTCAGTTTTCAATGTCCAGCACTTTGAGAATACTGTGAATCTGACAGACCCAATGGGGAATAAGATAACCCACTGCAGGTATTGTCTAATGCCTATCAATGTTCCTGTGCCCTCCAATTCAAAACAGAAAGTACACAGCAGGCCAGACAATGTTTTTGAATGTACGCCTCCTCCTTTACTATCATTTGTGTTCAGCACTCTAATGACAGGACTGATTTGTACTAGAACTGGTTTTCCCTATATTCACTAGGTACTAGAATTTATTTTATGGTATTTTTGTTTTGCCTGACTATGCCCTTTAGAAGTTAAACAATAAATTACATTAAAATAAACAATATTAGAACAAACTTTGTATTGGCATTCTAAAAGCCTTTGCCTATTGAAGCAAGAACAGCCATTTTAAACTAGGGACGAAGTATGTGAAGGAGGCTTGTTGGGAAAGGGGGAAAAAATAAATAAATGGGGAAGTTTACCTGTTTCTCTCCACTTTCTACAGGTACCCAGACTACCGGAACAGTGACGATTACAGCCATTCTATTAAGTTTTGGCACATTTTTGCTGCACGTATTGCCTTTCTATTTGTATTTGAGGTAAGTGTTTGGCTTGCAAAAGCATGGAGCTAATCGTGTGCAGAGAGCAAAATAGAAGTAGTTTTGGGGAAACTATCTATGAGCATGGATAACCACCGAAGAACCCTGTTGAAGATGATGTACAAAACCTTCTGCCAAAAGGCAACTTTTGTTTGTAAGGCTTTCCCATCTGCCCCCCACCCCACCCCCGACCTTAAGCCCCACCACATTTCTTTATTTGAAAAAGCATCTCATCCTTCACAGGCATTGTGCTCTCTTCCTTTGCGCCTGTGAAAGAAAAGCAGAGTGGATTGTGGGTAAGAGTGAGAGTGGAGCATGATAGAGAGCAAACGAGTGGGATGGGAAAAGGGCATCAACATCGGCATCCAAGCAGTGGACTTGGATTGTGGTCTTCCTAACTGTTATTGGCATTCAGCTTCCAGGGTAAACATCCAGAGCCAATACAGCTTGCCTTAATGGTCTATAGCGGGGGTGTCAAACTCAAGGCCCGTGGGCTGGATCCGGCCTGCAGGGTGCTTAGCTCTGGCCTGTGGGACTGCCCTGGAAACAGTGAAGGACTGACCCTTGGTGCTTCTGCCAATAAAAACGGAGCTCGGGAGGGTCATGCACAGCCCTCCCGAGCTCTGTTTTCACTGGCTGAGCGCTGCAGGAGGCTGTCACAGCTGAAAATGGAGCCTGGGAGGGGTGCCCCCAACACAAGTGACATTGAGCTGGCCACACCCACCCCGGCCATGCCCACCCAGTCCCTGAGGTCAAACACAACCCTGATACGGTGCTCAATGAAATCGAGTTTCATTGGTCTATAGTTTTACTGGATGTTTGATTAGTTCAGCAGGATGTATCACACTGAGAGCTTTTGTCTCCTTCAGCAAAGTGTGACTGATATCCATATCAGTTGCTCCATCATAAACAGATTATTAGTTGAAATCTTGCCTTTTCACAGTTCCATATTAGTTGAACACCTGTCTTTTAATAGTTCCACAGCAGAAGATTATCCTCAGGAACTAGGACTTTATACTGCAGCAGATAAATCAGGATGGAATCTAGCCTTTTGACCAGAGAAATTGACCAGGGAAAATATCCTGCTTTAAAGAAGCTGCTGATATCAGAATTTTTGCTCCAAATCTGTTTGCAAATAGGAATCACTTCTTATCTGCCAGGTATTCAAGAGGCCAGATCTGTTTAGGATTAAAGGTTAAATTATGTTTTGTCCTAGGATATGAACATCGTTAGAATCCCCTTTCCAGATACTTTATCTCATACCTTGAACACCATTTCCAAGATTCAGAAGCGGTGAAATGCTACCAATTTGGCCCGGTTTACCCGAACCAGTAGCAAAAATTGCTAGTGATTCACCGGTAGTAAAAAAAAAAAAAAAAGCTCCGACTATCAGCTGAGAGGAGAAAGAAAAGCACAGGATTGGCGCTCCCACCTGCCCCTGAGCCTTTCTGTTCTTTATCCTCTCAGCCGATTGGTGCAGCAGAGCCTCATCCGGTGTTTGGAAAGCTGTGTGCACACATGAAGCTCACGATCACCGAACTGGTAGGGAAACTGGTAGAATCCCACCACTGTTCAGAAGGCATCACCTTATCTTAGTTGGATTTACATTTTATGCTAATCCATAATGTGTGGTTAATTTGACCTGATGTATGATTTCTAAATTTGGGGTTTAGGCTTCATGTGCAAACCAAGCCACTAGTTTGATAAACTATAAACTCACCATTAAATCAGAGTTGGCACAAACTGGGTCCCTGGCCATTGCATCTGGATGATCAATGATGATTTCTGTGTGATGGTTGATTTATAATGCTATTATAATTCTGAACTGGTAAACAGTAATAATTAAAGTAATCCATGTTCCAAGTAGTTTAGAAGAGCAGTTTTCTTGATTAAATATTGCCAAGAAGATAAAGCAGCTGTTGTGCCTGAAGGAATAATATGATAATTCTCTCATCATTTTCCAGCATGTGGCTCTTTGCGTTAAACTAATTGCAGCATGGTTGGTCCCTGATGATCCCAGAAGTGTTAAAAATGATCAACTGAAAGAAAAACGCAAGAAACTAAAACGAAAACTCCAGTAAGTGTTTATCAAGAACAAAACTCTCAAAAACCTGATATTGAATACCAGGATTGCCAGTTGACATTTGGGGACAGTCATCTTTTCCGAATGTACACAGGTAGTCCTCGACTTACAACAGTTCGCTTAGTGGCAGTTTGAAGTTACAATGGCCCTGAAAAAAGTGACTTATGATTACCATTTTTCACACTTATGACCATCGCAGCATCCCCATAGTCATGTGATTTACATGCGGGTGCTTGACAACTGGTTCATATATATGACAGTTGCAGTGTCCCCTTGGATGACCCTATAACAAACAAAGTCAATGGGGAAGGCAGATTCACTAAACAACCGTGTTACTAATTTAACAACTGCAGTGATTTACTTAACACCGGTGGCAAGAAAAGTTTTAAAATGGGGCACCCCCTGCCCCCCAACAAATTTCTCTTCAGCAACTTAAATTTTGGTCTCAATTGTGATCATAGGTTTAGGACTATCCGTACATCTTCTTTGCTTTCCCATTGGAACATATTAATTAGCTAAATATTTATATCGGGCAAATATTTGATTGTTAAAAAAAAGTGTATTCCCTGAGAACCTTTCCAGAAATAAACTGGCAAAAATTAGGATTAGCACAGCAAAAACTCATTTGCTTTGGCTCTTGTGAGCCCTGAGTTGATGCTGTAACCATTGACTCCCTTTAGCATTGACTGCCTTTTCTGAACAGTACAGATAGAATCACGGAATGTGAGTCCGCTTCTTTGTGGTTGTGGCTTCCTTGTACATTGGCAAGAGAGGTAAACGATAAAAGAACCAAGCAAGCAATTGTCTTGATTATTCCAAATACCGGTAGTCCTTGACTTATAATAACCATTCACTTCCAAGTTTAAAATTGTATTAGTTTATAACAAGGATCTTCAAACTTGACAGCTTTAAGATTCTGTGGATTTCCAGAATTCCTCCACCAGTCATGTTAGCTCAGGAATTCTGGGAGTTGAAATCCACAACTCTTAAACTTGCCAAGTTTGAAGACCCGTAGTTTATAATATAAAACATAAAAATATAAAATAAAATAGTGAGAAAATAAGGGAGGGAGAAGGGAAAGAACAAAGGGAAAAAAAGAAAGAAAAGGCATTGACTTCTGATTCCTTTCAGTGCAGTAGAATAAGATAATAATATAAAACCTCAACTTTTTACATTTACATAGTAATATAAACTAGCTATTTCTATAACAATCCCATCTAATTGATAAACCCCAAATTGATTTATGGCCACTTAGCGATTGTTCAGAATTATCCCAGCCCTGGAACAGGTGCTTTCTAATCTGTAAAGCACTTCCGTCCATTGTAAAATGTCATGTCACCCACTTCTTGGTCACATGACATTTTAGGTGCTGGGCAACTGGGTTTTCCTTTGCAACTCTTTGCGATGTCCTCTGGTCACATGACTGTGATCTGTGACTTTTTTTTTTTTGCTACTTTCCAGCATTTTTTACTGGGGAAAAAAAGCCCATTCAGAAGAATGGGTTTGCATGACACTCGCTTAATAACTGTGGTGATTCGCTTAACAACTGCTGCAAAACCATTGTAAGAGCATGAGTGCTTCAACTTACAACTGGAAATGCAGTCCCAATTGTGTTGGTAAGTCAAGGACTACCTACAGTATAAGTCTTTGAGGAGCCAGTCCTGTCTTGATTTTCAAACCCAGTCCAACTCAGATTGGAATCCATTTTCATTCTTACTCTAGGATGAATTTCTACACCTTTGAGAACATTACCTCTGCTCAAATTGTTTTGGAGCTTTTTTTCATATGGTTGAAAGCCTCCTGGATACAATCCTGGAAATACAATATAAGCTTCAGTCATTTGAACCTGAAGATCCCACTTTAAATAACTTCTTTGCTGTTCTATGAATCAAATCAGTTGCACCCATGTACATTTGTGGATGTGTTTGTTTCATTTGAAAAGACTGACTAGGACTAGGGCACTAACTAACCATACTATTCATGGATACTTTTGAGCTTACATAACATGAAGAATGAGCAACCCCATTGCTCATTAAGGATTAAAATCACCGCTTGTTTTATAGATCAGAAGTTTCTTTTTTTCTGAGCTCAGAACTCTACCTGACTATTGAATAGAATCTTGGAAGCTACAATTCAAAAACTAATGGGCAGGGCAAAAATAAATCATGATTTTGTTCAGACTTAATTAGAATGCAAGATAATTACACCCTGGTTATTATTAAATAATTCCACTATTCTTATATTTTAAATATGTTTTGGATGGATTTGGAAGGCTTCCGAGAGATTTCCAAAAGGTTTTCAAGGGCTGAGTGCACTTCAATTTTTGATTATTGTCTGTTCTGTTTTGCAAAATTGAATAGAGCATTGGGTGGAACCAAAGAAGCACCAGTTTTAATAATAGAGATGAGGAAGCAGACTTAGTTATTGTTTTTAAGTAGATCCTGGTGTCCATTCATTGTTATTCTGGAAGCCACATTGAAAGTGTTTTATCTTACTAACCAACGATAATGTTTTCGATAACATCAGTACAGTCTCAGCAAGCCTCCCACCTCAGAAATGCAATCAGTAACTGCAGCTTTGTTTCTTTATCAAAGGTAATTATTAATTTGACCAGCAGATTGTTGGCAGGAGAGTCCAAATGACAGTAGTTCCTTCACCACTTTTTTTTAAAATCAAGCAGAAAGGGAGGACCTGCTTAAAAGCAGAAAGCCAGGAGGAGAAGGAGGAGGAGGAGGAGATTGGATTTGTGTGTGTGTGTGTGTGTTGTATACTCTGGAAAGAATAGCAAAATTTGAATACAAAAAATGAATAAGAGATTGTCACTAGAGGTACAAGTGGCTATAGACTACATAGCATCAAAACTCAGATGTCTTTGAAGATCAGCTAAATGATCAGCTATTCGCCTGGGAAGTCTGTTCCCATCCTGTGTTTTTTCTCTTTTGCCATTTGTGCTAAAGGTGGGGAATTTGTTTATGTAAAAAGTGATTGGTATATACAGATGGGAATAAATGAGTTATATAACTGGAATACATTATTTAACATTGCAATTAATTTTAATTACTTGTTCTGTATTTAGTTCATATCCCGTTTCCTTACATGGACACTGTAGGTTTTAACAGATCTCTCTCTCTCTCTCTCTTTCTCTCCCTCCCCCCTTTCTCTCTATATAGAGTCCTCGATTTATGACAACAGTTGAGCCCAAAATTTCTGTAGTTAAATGAGACAGTTGTTAAGTGAATTTTGTCCCATTTTATGATCTTTCTTTCCATAGTTGTTAAGTGAATCACTGCAGTTGTTAATTTAGTAACATAGTTATTAAATGAATCTGGCTTCCCCAATGACTTTGCTTATCAGAAGATAAAGATATCCAAAGCTGATCACATGATCCAGGAACTGCAACCGTCATAAATATGGGTCAGTTGCCAAGTGTCTGAATTTTGATCAAGTAAACATGGGGGTGCTCAATGATTGTAAGTGTGAAAACAGTCATAAGTGAATTTTTCAGTGCCAATGTAACTTTGAATGGTCCCTAGATAAACTGTTGTAAGTTGAGGATAACCTTTATTACTAAAACTCCTGTTCGTCTATGTCAGGGGTGTCAAACTCAATTTCACTGAGGGCCGCATCAGGGCTGTAGTTGACCTCAGGGAGCTGGGTAGGTGTGGCCAACTGGGTGGGCATGGCCAGCTTGATGCCACTCTCCAAACTGCTGGCATGTTTCCTCTTTGCACTGGGTAGACTGGGCCAATCTTTCCACTTCATATTGGGTAGACCAGGATGGCCCTGTGGGCTGGATCCAATGACATCATGAGCCGGATGTGGCCTGCGTGCCGTGAATTTGACACCACTGGTCTATGTGTAACCTTTAACAGGTTGAAGTGGTACATTGTAGGTGACAATTTTTAAATAAGGAACCTCAAAATGAGCTCAAGGGAAACCTCTGCAGCCTCAGGAGGCTGAAAAATGAGCTTTCCGGAAATACCAAAAGTGCTGAAATAGGCTCCAGAGGCTTCCCTCAAGCCTCTGGGAGGGTGAAAACAGCCTCTGCTGGGCTCCAGAGGCCCTCCGGAGGCTGAATACGGGCACTTCCGGTATTTCCAGAAGGCCTGTTTTTTGGTCTCCCAAGGCTGCAGAGGCTTTCTTTGAGCCTCCGGGAGGGCAAAAACAGCCTCAAGCAGGCCAAAAATCATCTGGGAGGCACGCGCATGCACAGTGCAGGTAAGTTTGGCTGGGGCTCGCATGCCCGTACAAATGGCTCTGCGTGCCGCCTTCACGGGGCTAACTTGAGGAATGTGTCCAAAACCCAGGACCTATGAGTCCCGTGGAATTAAAATTTGTCAAATTAAATAAAACTTCTTATACATAATGCAATATATTATAAAATATGTCCTGTGTTCAACTATGGTGAACCAACTCCTGTGGTCCTAAAGGTGCTTTTTTTTTTTCTTAAGAGGCAACTGGACTTTCTGATTTTTCTTTAAGGACGTTTTGCTTCTCATCCAAGAAGTTTCTTCAGCTCTGAGCTTCTCATCCAAGAAATTTCTTCAGCTCTGAAGAAGCTTCTTCGATGAGAAGCGAAACATCTTCAAAGAAAAACTAGAAAGTCCAGTTGCCTCTTGAAAAAAACAAAACACACCTTTGGGACAACTATGACCTGGATGACTGAGAATCTCCATAGACAACTTCTGTAGTGTTTGACTGTGCTATATAGTTCAACATGAGCTATTTTCAAGGCAGATATATCTCTGAATACCTCCCCATCTGGTAGCACAGTTGTTAGAATGTAGTATTTCAGTCTAACTCTGCCGACTGCCAGGAATTCCATCCTGATGGGGCTCAAGGTTGACTCAGCCTTCCATCTTCCTGATTTCAATAAAATGAGGACCCAGATTGTTGGGGGCAATAGGCTGACTCTGTAAACCATTCACAGAGTCCTGTAAGGCAGCATGGAGCAGTATTAAGTGCTACAGCTATAGTTATTGCTCCATTTTAAAGAACTTTTCCAGTTACATTAAAAGTTCTGCCATTATTGAAGATGTTGAAGAATCTGGTAAGGAAATATCTCTGAAATGATGATCCATGGGGTCATAGGTTTTCTAGTATATAATAAACATAACTCATACATGAACGTATGAATAAACACAACTCATATATACACAAGTGTGTCATATGGATACATTCATGAAGGTATTAGGAAATAAAATTTTCTGAATTTATTACTGCTGAAATTGGTTACTACTGGTTAATAAGAGAGAAAACTAAACATTGTACAGGATTTGTGTCTATTTCTACATATAGAAACAATATACTGTATAATCCTACCTTCCTTTGGAGGAGTTATTATGCTTTTGGGGCATAACTGGTTTATATAATGTCCATTTCATGGTGTGGCTCAGGAAATATATAGGAGGCTCCCATATATTTCTTTATTAAATTACTGCCATAATTCCATGGTCTCCCAACAACTAAATGCAATAACAATGCAAAGCAATGCAATTAAAATCTATGGTAAAGAGATTAGACTAGGTTCCAAGTGAAGGCTGTTCCACAGAATTGGAACCACTACTGAAAATAGCATGTCCTGACCTCAGGTTCCCTCACTTTATGAAGGGAGCCATCCATAATTTTTTTAGAAAGAGCATATTGGGCAAGTCATTTCTAATTGGAGAAAATGGTCTGTAAGCATCTAAAATACAGGTGCCAAGCTATAGAAGTTCATGGGAAAACAAGTTGAACTTTATATACTGTCTGGTGGAATGATGTCCATATTTCAAACACTTTTAAGGGTTTATCTTTGAAGTTCTGACTTCTATACCATATTCACATTCATTCTTATATCCTTGTATCTCAGTTTTCTGTAAAAATCTGACAGATGTACAAGGGTGTCCTAAAATTTCCTATATCAGTGTAAGCAAGGCCACACTTCTTAAAGTCCCAATTGTTGCATAATTCAAAGGCTGCTGAGTGCAGCTGAAGTTATAAAAACTACTTCTCTGTATTTCAGAGCAATGGATGATTCCACGGAAATATAGTAAAACATGGTGAACACATCACACAAATAGCAACAAGTGCTGAATGAAAAGGTGCTACAAGCTTTGAAGATGCTATCAGAAATCTGCAGCCACACCCAGTCTATTACTTGACACGGTTCTTGAATTTTATATTTTGTCATCAAAGTAACTTTGGATGGTACAACTGCTTTGAAATGTCAGTGTTTTCAGGAAAAATTAGACTAAATGACGGAAACAGTGACCAGATGACATGTCATGGTCAGTGTAATACAGCATTACAGAAGGCCAGAAGCATTTTTAAATGTTCCATTTTCTTCCGTAAGAAGTTACAGTCAGAAAATCATTTGTGACCTTTGTGGTCAATTAACATCTACTCAGACATGCTATTTACCTTGTTAACTCAGACTGATAATCCAGTACTATAGAAAATCCCTGAACAGTCACTCACTTCATGTAGAACAGGGGTGTCAAACTCGATTTCATTGAGGGCTGTATCAGGGTTGTGTGACCTGGGAGGGCTGGGGTGGGTGTGGCCAGGATGGGCATGGCCAGCATGATGTCACTCATATCAGGGGTGGGTGCCTGTGCTGGCCCAAGCGCTCTTCCAGCAAAAACAGGCTCCCGAGCTCTGTTTTCCACTGTGACAGCTTCCTGCAGCCCCCTGCCAGCAAAAACGGAGCTTGGGTACGGCACGCACATCCCCCTGTTTTCCTTGGCAGAGGCACCATGGGCTGATCCTTTGCTTTTTCCGGGGCAGCCCCACAAACTAGATCTAAGCACCCCACTGGCTGGATCCAACCCATGGGCCTTGAGTTTGACGCCCTTGATGTTGAATATCAGGACCTTGTATTCTTCATTTGCTGATAATCCTTGATTAGGGTAAACATATGCTGCTTGCCTAACAGAGTCCTTAGACAAACACCCCAATGTGTAATTCAGCCTGTATTAAACATCCAATATTTCCTTTACAAATAATCTGAAACTGCTCCTGATATTTAGAGAGCTAACACAGAAACACTTCAAAATGCCTCTTGCCTTTACTGTGCTTGTCATTTTCCCAATCTTTGCATGCTATTTTGATATATAAGAATAGGTTTCTCGTATATCAGTTTTAAGAGTAATCCAATTTGCCACTAAAAATGGGCAGTTTTATTGTGATCTAATGCATACATTGTAAGGCCTAAATTATGCACAGTTCCTGATCCCACATTCCAATAAGAGGTTGAGAAGATACTTTTATTCGAGTTCTTTTGTATTTGTTTTTTTCTCTATTATTTATATTTTTTCATTTACAATTTGGGTTATTAGGGATTCTTCATGCAAGTGATTCTGAAGCCTAATATATAAAGAACATTCTTCCTAATCCAGAAGTAATATATGTCATACAAAAATGAATTAATTCAATCAATTTAGAGAATCCTGTTTATCCCAGAAGGATAAGTTTACAAAAATGCTGGGTCCAGCAAAGATAAGAACTGTGGTAAAATTAATACATATAAAAAAGAGGATTTATTAGGAATGTAGCTTGTTGGAATCTGGGTGATGTGTGAGATGAGCTTCAGTTGCTGAATTGATTTTGATTTTTATATGCTTATGTTTTCCTTCCAATCAAGTGTCTAATAATGCTGAAAACTAAAGGGTGCCTGAAATTTTGTCATTGTATATTTACCAACTTAAATTTGAATGAATTTAGTATACATTTCATCTGTAGCCTACAGATGAACAAAACAAATAAATAAAATTGGAAGTCAATATGTCAGTAATATTCTGCTATTATCATCTTTTAATTCTGATTTCCTCATGCTTCCCTGAGTTTAACTTGTTTGCATTAAGTTACTTGTATTACTATCAAAAAGGGACATAGTGGCTCAGTGGCTAAGATGCTGAGCTTGTCAATCAGAAAGGTTGGCAGTTCAGAGGTGCAAATCCCTAGTGCCGCATAATGGAGTGAGCTCCCATTACTTGTCCCAGCTTCTGCCAACCTAGCAGTTCAAAAGCATGAAAAAATGCAAGTAGAAAAATAGGGACCACTTTGGTTCTGTGTGTCTTCTGTGAGTCTTCGATGTTTAGTCATGCCAGCCACATGACTAGAGATGTCTTCAGACAACGCTGTCTCTTTGGCTTTGTAACAGAGATTAGCACCGCCCCCTAGAACTGGAAATGACTAGCACCTATGTGCAAGGGGAACTTTTACCTTTACCTTATTGCTATCAAACTCTAAATTGTTTGGGTATAGCTTTTCTTTTCTTTAGAGTCAAATTTAACTATTGATTTCAGTGATGAGTGACAATTACATTATTCGACTACTGAAGTCACATTTATAATTGGGACTTTAGATTTAAAAGAGCATACAAAGACCAAATGACAGATAAATACTTAACTTGTGTGAGTTTACAATGGATGCCAAGCATTTCATTCCAAAGTTTAATGTTCTGACAAATTCTAAATTTGATGGCAAATTAAACTTGGGCTTTAATTATGAAAACATTTTGTTCAAGGATGTTTTTTTCGGAAAAGTTAAGTCTTAAATATAAAATGAAAAACTTGACTCTGTTAATTGTTTGACCAAGAACTTTGAATGAGATTTGAAATTCCTGTTTATAACTTGTTTAAAATAAGATATATTTTTTAAAAAAGAATACATTATCAAGATATGCATATGACATTTGGATTAAAGTATTTTATATAATAAATTTTTAAGAAATAAAAATGAAACTTTTGGAGCTTTATTTTAGTTGGATAGATTTTAGCAAGTAACCCAGGAGTGATCCCATTCAGAATTCCATGATCCATAGAAAGCTGTGGACTTTACTTTTAGATCAAATGTGGCAATGTTTCTCTCTGAAATTCTGAAAAAAAGGCTTATTTATTCTTAAAACCAAATAATCTAAACTGGCTAATAACTTCTGGATCTTGTTGCCATCTTTTTTATATAGAGAGATTGTTTTTAAGTGCTTAGAACTGTGCAACTGTACTTCAATAAGTAATGTGATGACCCAGGGCATGGCACAAAGGCAACACAGTCAGATAATCAGTAGGAGTCCCTTTATTAGCTCCAACTTTGCCCCCAATGTCCTGGTTACCTTCTGGCTGGAGAAAAACTCTCCCAGGAACAGCCTTTGGCTACGGAGAATCAAGTCCAAAACATGGTCAACAAAAACTGTAACTATAAGTCCAATCAAGGCAAGATGAGGTAATTACTCCAGCAGGGCAGGAGAAAGAATTCCAGACACGAAGGAAGGACCATAATTCAACACGGTTGGGAGGATGCGAGGAACACAGATAACCAAAATCAACACAAGATAAACTCATATTTGTTCCCAGCAGATGCCACACTTAGCATGCATCTCTTTTAAACTCTTCCCAGGTGTGCCTAATGAAGGGAATCTGGGCCCTTTCCTCCCCTGTAAGCCATGCAACCCATGTTGCTCTCTTCTCCGTTCCTCCCTGTGTGCCCTAGGATGAAGAGGGGGTGGGCTTCCTCTGAACTCCCTCTCCCTTGTTCTACCTCTGCCCAGCTGGACTTTGCCCTTCCCCAGTTTCCTCCACAGCCGAAGGAGCCACACTCCCACCCTGTCAGCTGTTCATCTTCTTCCTGGGATTCAGACTCCAACAGGGGCATGACAGGTAAGCTATTAAAACTGTAAAATAAAAAGTTATAAACTAAGTAATTCATCAATCTACTGTTGTGATTAAAGAAATGTAAGTTATAAAAAGTCAAATCTTCCAAGAGTCAAGATACTCCATCTTGAAAATGGGTTAATAATTATAAGGCAATATGTCCAAATGTGCTCTCTTTTAACCTACTATTTAGTAGACCTTAATGCTCTGCCTTTCATGCTCCTTACCTTCCTTCTGAATGTAAGCTTTTATATTGACAGGGTGACAGCCAGCATTAGCAGTATAGTACTTAATATTCAGAGTTTGAAATGCAGCCTCTATTGAATGAATGGAGCGGAGGTTCATCCTAATCATGTCTACTTTAGTATGGCAACTTCTGTTAAAGGGTCCCTCTAAAACAGATAGAATTTTTATAAGGGCACATTTAGCAGAAGAAACATCCTGGCACCTGCAACTGAATTGCTATGCAAGAACAGTCACTACTTTGTAGTTCCGCATGTTTTATGTGTGTTGGCAATGTACCCAATAAGAGGTGGCTTATTTTGAAGGACACTGTTGTTGTTTTTATTATTGCAGTGAATTTTCTCCATATGTAGGATTAGTTTGATGACTCATTAGTGTAAATTACATTAATTTATGTTTGGGAGTGCAAAAGCAGAAAAATGAAATTACAGACATCATTAACACTGATTCTGAAGCTTGACTAACATATACTATTCCTCTTATTGTAATATTTTCAGCACATTCTGTCTCAAAGTAGCTATTGCTGTGGTGATTTTCAAAAATCCAGAAGTAACGATTTGTTTACATCTCATTAGTTATTTGAGGTATGATTTCCTGTACATTTAATGTGTATCTGATTGTCAGTGTCAAATAGTATAACACTTCAGCATTTTAGACTTTTAACAAATTAACACCCAAAGATGCTCATAATGCTATATACTGTCTCCCAGTTTAATATACTGGAAAATACATTAAGATTAGGTAAGATGCTGAATATATTTTTAAACAGTATTCAGGTAAAAAAGATGCCAATCCTGAGCGCACTTCTAACTTTTCTTCCCTCCCAAGCAAGCCCTCCCTCTTTGGAGATTGTCATTGATTCAATTTGTCCCCCAAAACAAGACCACCCAAATATCCCCCCTTACTTTGGTCAATTGTTACTTCTCATAATTCATTTAAGAGGTCTGTGTTCCCCACAAGAAACAATTAGCATTCTCATCTGGAAGCAATATATTGGAGAAGGCTAAGACTGTTTTTATACTGAATTCTACACTTGCCATAGATAGGCCATTTAGCAATCTGGTTTTAATATCAAACATATTTTCAGAAAGGCTAGTGCCAATGTTACACAATGACTGGATAATGGAAGTACACTTCTTGAAGCTCCAAAGCACCCTGGATCATTAAACCTTTTTGAAAAGTTACTGGATTTTTTATGTAACAGATTGAAAAATTATATATCTGGGAAGTAATGATACTCACATATTCAAGAGTAATTATGTCACATTTGTCTTGCCTTACTTACTTATTTGATGAAGTCTGTGATTTAAAGTATGTCTAACATGACACAAGCCAAACGTAACCATTGACCAGAAAATTCTGCATCTTAGTTTTGTAGGAAGTTAGCACCCACCCGTCTCTTAGAAAAATGAAATATCCTGGGAAATATTAAAAAGGAAGAATATTTCCTCTAAAAAGAGTAGAAACTCAGAAGCAGAAACTCACCTCAGAAGCAGAAGCTCACCCCTACTTTTGTTAATGGGTGGGCCATTAAGGCCTGGGCCAGAATACTTTACATAACAAAGATCTCCAGGTAAAGCTATAGCAATTGCTCAAAAGCCCTTTCAGTGCATCATCATCCAGCAAGGCTCAACCAAGCCTGGAATTCAGGGTAGCCTACAGAGTTGCCCCTGCATGGCCTCATGGGAGTCTGACAACCAATCAGAATACAAGCTCCAATTCAAATCCCAACAAAGGTTATAAAACCCAGGCACTCTCAGCACCTCAGCCCTTTTCTTGATCTCTTCCTTCATCTTGAAGCATGTGATCATCCTTCTTTGGAGCTTCAAGCCATGTGGTCCTGCTGTCCACCATTAAACCATCTTTACTAACAGCCTCCATGTTTCCAGTGTCTTTTTCCCCACTTGGAACTGAACCCAGAAGGATATTTCTTCCAACAGTTTAATATATGAAACACAAACAACCCCTCCCCCTCAAATATAGTAAACATTCTGAAAAAATGAATAATGGAAGAGGAAATCAACATCAGGTCTAAAAGATAGGTCAAGAAGTCCAAAAAGGAAGGGAGAGAAATTATAATTGCTTTGTTCTGCAGTGCACTGCCCAGCAGAAAAAAACATTTGCTACAATATCTTTGGGAATGAGAAAAAAATATTTCGGTCCCACGCTAACAGCATCTTCCATTATTTCAAAGCACAGTTTACGTCAAACTCTACATCAAAAAGGGGAAAACCAAGCCCTATTCACCTGCGTTCTATATTTCTTTCAGAAAGACAAAAGTACCAGAAACTCAAGTAAAGATACAATGTTCTTATGATCTTAGTTCATTTTCCTGACTCTGCAGACTGTTAAATATTTCAGCAGGAATATTCCCTTTTCTGTTTAAGTAGCATTGATTGGCAGTTTTAATGCAAGGACATTTCAAAGTACATGGTTCATCTAGTAGCTTATCTACGTAAGTGAGCACCTGCCTGCATTCCTAAATCTGGGGTCCAAAAATAAAGCCAAATGGTAGTCAAACCTTGTCCTTTACATGTGCTGAGAGGAAACAGTGCTAAATTCATCCTTCAATAACACTGAACCTTTCTAAGCCCACTAACATTGTTTTAACTCAGCCCCATATACATTTACTTTGGGGAAAAAAAGCCTTAGTAAATTAAATGCTTAATCTCCGGGAACAAAGCACAGGATTAAAATTCCAGAAACACCTTAGATCAATATCAGACTCTCCCTATCAGTTCTATCACCTGTGTGACACACCCTGAGTAAATATAAAACATTTACCTTACTCAGTTGTGCATGACCAGTGCATGCTAGGAGCTGTAGTTTTTTATCACAAAGATATGTCAAACTCTGAGAACTGCCGAACTACATTACCCAGAAAGCTTTGTCATAAAAGTTATGAGGAACCACCCCATGACCTACCTGAGTGCCGGGCACAGTTTCCCCTAGCAACAAAAAAGATACTGAAGACTCCTCCCTGTATAAACAACTCAAAGTATTAGCTTCAGTTAGCAGGAGGTTGCCTTTGGTATAAGGTCGGTTAAGCTGCCTGAAAGAGGTTGGTCGAATTAATTAAAGTATCACGTCTACTTCTCTGGCCCATTTCTCTGCTTTGCAAGAAAAAAAAGTTGGATTTCAGGAGTGGGGAATAAGGATTCTTCCATTAGAAGGAAAGAGAGCCCTGCTTTTTTATTCCTGTGCGCAAAACTTCAGCCTCAGCAAAACAAAATATATCTGGCAAACCAGGTGATATTGGGATCATTGTCTCCAATATACATTGATCTCTTATTGTAGTCGGGGAAAAAATACAACAAAACAATTCAGATGGAAAATTTGTATTGAGTTAGGGCTATATTTTGAAATCTATCTCCTCGTATATAAGCGTTACATCTCAGTCTCTTGTTATCCAGTGCAGGTAAGTGGGAGGTTTGTCTTTTATTTAATCTGGATTTGAATCAAAAACCAGCTTTAATCTGAAGACTCTTGGAATTCCTAGACAGGGCATAATTTCCTAAAATGCTTGGAAGTTGTTCCCACTCATTTCATTGAGGCTTGCTTCTAAATTAGGATAGATTTATAACTGCTGGCTACAGTCTTAAAAATGCTTATTTCCAAAATATGCTTTACTGACAAAATGTAATTTATTTTTAATGTGAATAGGATTGTGTTCACATTTATCAATAAAGAATTCAGATTACTGGCAGTGGAGAGTGAGAGGAAGAGAGGAAAGATTTCTATGAAATCAAGTTAAACTGATTATAGTGATACTTCAACTAGTTTTTCAAGTCTTTATTGACTATACTTATATTCTTGGACAGCATCCTGCAATGCATAAGGATACTCCAAGTCTATGTGGTTAAAATCATAACAAAAACTCATAATTTCTTAAGGAAATGAACAACACTTAGGTATTGTTAACTTTGATTAGAGTGTTTCTCAGTTTTTGTTAAATAACTTGTACTACTGCTTTTAAGTTTTTTTAGTCAAACTTTATGGCTGCCCATCTCATAACAGTGATGAATAGAATAGAATAGAATAGAATATATTTTTTTATTGGCCAAGTGTGGTTGGACACACAAGGAATTTGTCTTGGTGTAAATACCCTCAGTATACATAAAAGAAAAGATACATTCATTAAGAATCAAGAATCATAATGTACAACACTTAATGATAGTCATAGGGTACAAATAAGCAATCAAATCATTCTAGGAAACAGTCAATATAAATAGTAAGGGAACAAGCAACAGAGTTAGTCCTACAATCACAAGTGGGAAGGGATGGGTGATAAGGAGTGACGAGAAGATTAACAGTAATAGTAGTGCACACTTTGTAAATAGTTGAACAGTGTTGAGGGAATTATTTGTTTAGCAGATTTATGGCATTAGGGAAAAAACTGTTCTTGTGTCTAGTTGTTCTAGTGTGCAGTGCTCTATAAGTGTTGTTTTGAGGGAAGGAGTTGAAACAGTTTATGTCCAGGATGTGAGGGGTCAGTAAATATTTTCACAGTCTTCTTTTTGACTTGTGCACTTTACAGATCCTCAATTGAAGGCAAGTTGGTAGTAATTTATTTATTGATTTGATTTGATTTTTCAATCAGTTACAAGATAATAGGTATAAGTATAAACATGAGTAAGAATACAGGAAATAGGTACGAATAAATGGGGACAATAGGACAGGGATGGTAGGCACGATGGTGCACTTATGCACGCCTCTTACAGATCTCTTAGGAATGGTGTGAGGTCAATAGTGGTTAGTTTGAGGTTAAAGGAGTGGGGGTTAGAGGATGTAACAACAGAGTCAGGTAGTGCATTCTTCACATTGACCACTCTGTTGCTGAAGTCGTAATTGTTTTTTCTGCAGTCCTAATTATCCTCTGAAGTCTGTGTCTGTCCTGTTGGGTTGCAGAACCAAACCAGACAGTTATAGAGGTGCAGATTACAGACTCAATGATTCCTCTGAAGAACTGGATCAGCAGTTCCTTGGGCAGTTTGAGCTTTCTGAGTTGGTGCAGAAAGAACATTCTTTGTTGTACTTTTTTGATGACGTTTTTGATGTTAGGTGTCCATTTTAGGTCATGTGATATAGAAGAACTCTGGGTTTATCTTAGGTTTATACAATCAAACAGTATTAAATGTGCATGGTGACACCTAATTTCTAAAACTTTCTAATGTAAAAAAGAATTGCTCAGTGATCATAGCAGATACCTGGGCATTTTACATAAAGAACAACACTTTTAAACTGCTCTTCACAATTAGAGTACAGAGTGTTCCAAAAGCTATTGTAGGGTTTTTTTTTTTTTTGCCAATTATTGATCGGCAACATTAAGGACTAAGTATTACATTCAGCCTGTTATCAAGTGGATTTGTTGAAACACAATTCTGATACAGCTGAAAATTACAAGATCTAACTTCACTTGAGGTTCAGGAGCTTCAACCTTTTAGGGCTGGTTTTTCATAGCTGCAATTTTGACAGCATATTACAAGATACACTAATGCAAATATGGCTATGCAAAAACTTGTCCTGTTACAAAATGGCTCCCATGAGAATGAAACTTGTTACAAGACGCAATTTAATCGAAATGCTTCCTCTGTTTTCCCCTTAAGATGCACCCTGCTCACGTTTGCTTTTTTCTGAGCAGATAGGCATACTTTCACATACAGCATTCAATTGTTATTTTGGGATTTTCTGTCAGAAACATTTAACATAGATAAGGTATCTGTTAATAAACAGTTTCTTGCTATTTACATTCAGTGACTAAGAAGTGATAGCTATCTTTTGTGCATGCTTAGATACGAGTGGCAATTTTAATCAGGTAATAAACTGAATACAAGACAGTGGGGGGGGGGGTATATCAATTTTCCAAATTTATATTTGAAACACAAATGCTTCTGTGAGAGAAAATGTCACTTTCTTAGTGGGTTTCTTCCAAAATTGAACTGTTGCTCATAGAACACTTTCTCAGGGCTCTGAACTTACAGATATGTTTATTATATTAATGTGCATGCAAAATAGAGGGGAGAAGCCTGGATAGTCTAAATGATTCAGCTTGTTTTATCACTGTTGGACACAATGTTTAGTAATTGTTACATAATAATATTGCTTAGTTTTGCAAAGTTTTCTTTTATATAGAAGCAAATCTCAGTGTTTTTGTTTGTCAATTGAGGTTTTCTACTTTATTCCTTGGGATATTTTCTTTCTTTTTGTTTTTTTGTTTTTATATTAACTGCTTCAGAATAACCCTTGCCAAGTTTCAGGAACATTGGCTGACCCAGTGTTACAAAGCTGCACTCTTCACAGCTGCAGAGCTATTCAGAAACTTGTTTCATAGCTATTGAGTAAATTTCTACTTGAATGCTTGGCTGCTACCAACAGGTTGGGTAGCTTTTACTGTTTTTTGAAATATTTAAGTTGCATTTTCCGATCTATGCAGGTGGAAAAACAGGAGGAGCAATGAGAACAAGGAGGAGGTCCTGATTCTCTGGAGTGCAGGCTTGGAGGATTGTGATTGGGGACAGAGAAAAGGAACAAGTCATTAAAGAAGGGCACAAGGTCATAAAAAGGGAGAAAACAACCGGCAAAGCCGGTCTGTTGGATAATCATGTGATTAAAATTGTGGCAATAAAGGAGTGTATAGCAAGGGCACACAAGAATTCACCGCCTTTTGAAGTTACCTATCTGCCTCTAGAAGCGGAGGGGAGGGAAGCCCTAGAAAGGTAATGCTTCTCACTCTCTTCTCCAATGTGCAGGGTGTTATTCATGAATAAGTTAAAATGATTGTGAAATTTCTCTCAGTTTGGTCTGTTTCATTTGTCCTCTTTACTTTCTGCCTTGCCAGAGGGGTTGAACAGGAAAGAACAGTAGTTTGTTAAGGTAGGGAAGTTGTTGCTGTTGGTGATGGCAGTGGAGGGGTTGGTGGGGAAATCCTTATATTTGAGTTTTAAAGATGAATAGCCTGGATTTTACATGCCATTTGACTAATTTCCATTCCCTTCTTTGTTATTTGCTCTAGTCAGGATACCTTTCCTTGCAGTTCTTGTTGTTTAACCCAGCTGTCTCTCCTTTTTGAAGGCATAGTGGATATCTCTTTTTGGAAATCACGCTCTGCATGCAAAAATACTGTTAGTACTTAAGGCTGTATTTTGAACTTTGTTTTGACAGACCTATTTCAATCATTGCTTCTCACAGCTCAGAATATTAGTTTCATGTCTCCCTAATAGGCGACTTTCCCCCCCCCATATTGTTCCTTGCTTATGAGAAGGGTTAATCAAAGTGATTTTTTTTTAAATTATAAGCTGCCTAATTTATAAAGAACATTGTTACTCAATTGCTGCTGAAGTTTCCTGAAATTCTGTTCACTGTCAGCTATCACCACTTTTCTGCAGAGTTTCTGGTAGTGGACTGTGGTTGACTTCTCTCAGCTTTTGCTGGCCTCTTTCATTTCCTCCTCAATAAGGTTTCTTTTATTGGGTGCAGAAAGCTTCAGAAATCCAAATCCTGTCTGACCTCCACAAGCCAATTACTATACTCAAGCACAGAGTGAACAAGGCCTTTGTAGAGAATGCCTAGAGCTATCTTCTTAGAGTAGGCCGGAGAGTCTATTTTCTTCTCAGTACAGTGCTCATTACAGACATAGCTGATTGAATAGATCGAGTGTTTGTTTCCTAACATACTGTGCTTTTATTTGTTAGGCCATTTGTTTATTTATTTTTTTCCATTTCTTGTATTGCTGCTAGCTTTCTAGAAAGATTGTTATAAGTTTGGAAAGTAGTTCTTGACTTGTAATAGTTCATTTAGTGTCAATTTGAGATTCATTTAACAACCATGTTACTAACTGAACACCTGCAGTGATTCACTTAACAATTGTGGCAAGAAAGGTCATAAAATGGAGCGAAACTCAATTGTCTTGCTTAGCAACAGAAATTTGGGGCTCAATTGTGATTGTAAGTCGAGGACTATCTGTATATTTGCAATTAATCAGAGGCAGCCATATGACTTTAGTAGTAGTTCCACTGTAATATAGATCACACTCATGTGTCAGACTTCAGCTCTTCTTGCCATGAGTTCAGGAGCAGGTATCAGTGCAGTGCTGGAGAGGTGGATAACTATGTATGTTTGACCCGGCTGTAATACAGCATGACACAGGGTTTTATATCTTTAATCCAGACATACCTGAAAGCAGGTTTTGCATGTTTCCACTTAATAATATTTTTTTACAAGCAGATTTGAAACTATATAAATTGGTTGTGTTGGGATTAGAATCTAGTCTGTCATTTAAAAGAGGCAGTTTGGTCTAGGTACCAGGCTAGAAAGCAAAGATACCGTGAGTTGACGTCCCACCTTAGCCATGAAAGCTGTCGGGGTGACTTTGGGCCAGTCACTCTCTCTCAGCCCAACCCTATTCTTAAGCAAAAAGCTATTTGTGTTCTTTGCAAAATGAAAGTAATGTAGTGAATGTGTAAAATAAAGCCAATACATACAAGGCCTAACAATGAACTTACTGCATTATTAGAACCAGGTAATTTTTTACAATGAATTCTTCTGTTGGGTGGTCATCTAGAAAAACCTGCTTATCATGCAAACTCACTCAATGCATTACAGAAAAGCTAGGACTGTGCAGTAAGTACACATGAATTATATTTAATGCAAAAATACTGGCTAGGTTTAGTTGTTTCATCAGCTGGGAAATGTATGGCAGCATGAACAATGGAAGAGCACAGTTGCTTTCTGCATTTCCATTTTCAGAGCAACCTTTCTCAATTAAGATGTCTCTCAGACATGTTGACTATAGACTATGGAACTTAGCTGGGAAATGCCTAGATAGGGGAAGGGTGATTCCTTTATCTGAAACACAACACAGCTTGCACCTTCATTTGAACCAGCATAATTATGAGATTAAGTTGTGTTGCAATTCTGATATACAGTGAATGTATACCTATAGATGTGAATATGAAGAAGGGGCTCAGTGGTGGTATTCTACCAGTTCGGCCCGATTCGGCTGAACTGGTAGTAAAAAATGCTACCCAGTTTAGCTGAAATGGTAGTAAAAAAAGGCTACCAGTTCAGCCAAACTGGTATTTCCGACTATCAGCTGGGCAACCATCAGCTGTGCCACATGATTTAGATTAGCTAGAAAGCAGGAAATTGTTGGATTTACGGCTTTCTAGCTAATCTAAATCACAGGGCACAGCTGATTCCCCCCTTCACTTCAAAATGCTTCTTTTTCTAGTGCTTCCCTGAGGCCCACTAGGCCAAAAATGGGGTGCTGGGGGGGTGCTTCAAAAAAAGAAAAAGAAAGAGGGAGGGATGGGAGAAAGAAAGAGAAAGAGAAAGAAAAAAAAGAAAAAGAAAGAAAGGGAGGGAGGGAAAAAAGGAGAGGAAGGAAGGACCACAAACCTTGCCACTAGACCAAAGGTCTTCCAACTTGACAAGTTTAAGACTTGTGGACTTCGACTCCTAAAATTCCTGAGCTAACATGACTGGAGGAAGAATTCTGGGAGTTGAAGCCTACAAGTCTTAAAGCTGTTAAATTTGAAGACCCCTGCAATAGACACAACTTCAGAGGATGCTTTGAAACAGCACAGCAATCCAGGGCTGGAAGGTACCTGGAGGTCGTCTAGTCCAACCCCCTGCTCCAGAAAGTGAGTTTCTGTCTTTTGACACCACCCCAGTCACAAGATCACACAGCCATGCCCACCCAGTCATATGACCTCCAAGCCACGCCGACCAAGCCATACCCACCAAGTCATGCCCACAGAACTGGTAGTTAAAAATTTTGAATCCCACCACCGAAGGGGATAAATTCTGTCTTGCCTTAAACAAAAGAAATGTGGAATAAAATTGATCTGCCCAAAGGCAGCTGGCTGCACTTAAGTCTTGTAGTGCCGAACCATAAAGTGTCAATTTGTGTGAATCATCCCTACATATGAGATCACAAAAGAAAAATTCTGGAAGCCCACTTGTGCTGTGGTTCAGTATCAACATAAAGTCAGAATTCTGTATTTGATGAACTTTGTTACTTATTTAGAAGAACATATTTTCCATGGCAGTCATTCATCTAAATTTATTGTAGCCAATTAAAAAAGAATAAAGGTAATGATTGATTTTCCTTTCCAAGCTTATTTTTTATGATGTGAGAATGCCTGATGTAAAATCTCTTCACAAAATATTCCATCCATAAATTTAAATTTGCAGTACAGGAAGTCCTTGACTTACAAATGAGCCCAACATTTCTCTTGCTAATTGAGACATCTGTTAAATGGGGTTTGCCCCATTTTATGGCCTTTCTTGCAACAGCTGTTAAGTGAATCATTGCAGTTGTTAAGTTAGTAACACGGTTGTTAAGTGAATCTGGCTTACCATTGACTTTGCTTGTCATAAAGCTGCAAAAGGGCATCGCATGTCCTCAGGACACCGCAACTGTCATAAGTTAGTTGCCAAGCATCTGAATTTTGATCATGTGACCATGGGGATGCTGTAACATTCATAATTGTAAAAAACGGTCATAAGTCACTTTTTTCACCACTGTTGTAACTTTGAACGGTCACTAAATGAACTGCTGCAAGTCGAGGACTACCTGTATATTTGCTGATGTGCAGGGCTTCTTAGTCATGGATATAAATCCTACTTGCCAGAACAGCCAACAAACGTGGTCTTTGTTCACTGATGGAAAAGCTGTGCTGTTGCCCAGTGTGGTGGATGTTTGGGCCTTATTTGTGACATATTGGAGAAGATACTGAGGGAGAAAAGAAAGCTGTCATTGTTGACACAAAAACATCACCTCAGGGAGAATCAGAACAGAAAGGAGTTTCAAGGGGGAAGTGATGAGAGGGTCAAGAGGGATATCACCTTTTGCTCCCAACTTCTGTCACTTGAAGGAGCTAGTTCAGCCTACCTAACTATAGGGCTGGGCTTGTGAGGTAAAGGAAATTTGCTTTCATTTGCTTTCGTATGGAGGCTGTAGCCACATTGTTCACAAAACCATTTCTCTATTCTTTGAGCTATCTGGTGAGCTGAAGGTTAACAGAGTGTTCTTTCCAATTGTACATTTCTCTCTCTTCCCCCCACCTTGCTACTTAAGCTACCTTTGTCATTAATTGCTTTGGGCTCTGACCTTAAAAGTTCAGTTACTTGGAGGAATGTTTCAAAAATTGGCAGAACTTGTATGACAGTGAACAGTGTTCATTAAAGAAGGTTTAGAAAGCATAGCTGGTTTAAAACGCAGCTACTAAAGTATTGGCCGGGCACATTTCAAGAAGTTTTGTGCTATTTATATTAGCTGTCCGTTTTCTGGGCCTAAATTGAAATCTAATTCTAACCATAAAAATGTATTTAGGACCAGGTTATATGAAGGACTGTCTACAGCCATGTGAACAAATCTAGCTAGGTATTAAGATTTGTTGTGGAGGCCCTCTCTTCTGCTAGATGTTAGTTAAAAAGAAGCTAGTAAATACTAAAAATAGGAGTTTCTCAGTAATAGCCTCACACTCCAGGAGGTAACTTTCTCAGCATGAAATCAACATTTTTGTATCTCATGAAGCCTTTTCTAGATTGACTTCTAGGACCAGACTCACCCAAAGAGTGCCTGGGCTAAAAAGTGCTGTCCACAACAATAATTGGGCTGATAAAATAAAGTCTATAATGCTTATCCCTGAACTGTTACTCTAAAAATCTAGTCAAACGTGCTTTGGAGGTTTCTCATTTGATATGTATAACCCAGGAGTGAAAAAAAGGAAATGTATGCAATCTATGAACAGTGATTTTTTTTTCCAAACCAGGTAATTCTAGCTCTTAAACTCAATTTTCTTAATACAGGTAGCCCTCAACTTACGACTACAATTGAGCCCCAAATTTACGTTGCTAAGTGAGAAATTTGTTAAGTGAGTTTTGCCCCATTTTACAGCTTTTATTGCCACATTTGTTGAGTGAATCATTGCAGTTGTTAAATTAGTAACACAGTTGTCATGTGAATCTGGTTTTCCCATTGACTTTACTTGTCAGAAGGTTGCAAAAAAAGATTAGATATCCTCTTTGTAAAGTTAAATGCTGAAGAAGATCTGAAAAAAATTAACTTGTTTAAGAGCTATCCTGTCAAAGATATAAACGTCTATGGCAAATCTGAGTTTGTGAGCATTCCCTATGGGAATGCATAGACTTGCTATAAGGGTTCATTTATATAAGCTAAAAGAACAGAACTTCTGCAGGGAACAAAGTCTTTAAGTTTAACCAATGTTTTAATGCAGCATATGAACATGGCAGTGAGGCCATGAAATAGATTTCCTTAGAATGGCAAAGTCCTTGGATTCTTTTTTCATCTGTAGTTTTTGAATAGAAGAGAAAAATCATGACAAAACTAAGTGGCAGGACTACTCTGTAGATTGGAATGGGTAAATATTGGCCCTTTACAACCTGTGGACTTCAACTCCCAGAATTCTTGAACCAACCATGCTGGCTCAGGAATGCTGGAAGTTGAAGTCCACAAGTAGCAAAAGGGTCATTGTTGCCCACCCCTGCTGTAGATGGTCTTTATATTCTGCTTATAAGACAGCAAACAAGGGGGCTGTGCAGGGGTGGGATTCAAATTTTTTTAACAATGGGTTCTGTGGGAGTGGCTTAGTTGGTGGGTGTGGCTTGGTGGTCATGTGACTGGGTGGACATGGCTTGGTGGTCATGTTATTGGCTGGGTGTGGCCAACTAAATATCACTCACATCGAGTCACCATCTCCTCACCTGGCCTCTCATGACTGTGGAGATGCTGCAACAGTTGTAAGTGTGAAAAATGGTCATAAGTCACTTTTTTCAGTGCCATTGTAACTTTGAATGGTCACTCCACACAAGCAAAGTACCAGCAAAGGAAGGGGAAAAAACCAGAGAACTTCCTGAGACAGGAAGTCTAGTTCTGCCCAGAATGTAATAAGGGTTAATGGAGAGGCAGTTTCTGTAAGCAACCCCAGAATGTTTCCTTCCTGCCTTCCTTACAGGATTAGGCCAGTAATTTCTTCTAACAACTGGTTTTCCAAACTGCTTGGAATGTTAACAACCGGTTCTAGCGAATAGGTGCGAACTGGTAGAATCCCACCCCAGGGGCTGTGTATTTCTTTTTTGGCATATGTCCCACTGAGTTTGGCAAGATTTAATACTCTGTTTTAAATAGACAATTTATAGTAGCCTCAGGTACCTTTTACATTACAAAAATTGGTTAGCTCTTGATTATAACTGGCTAGCCATTTTTGTTTGTACCTGCTTGACTTCCATGTGCGAAACTAGCAAAAGCTTTTGGTAAAGGATTTGTAATTTGAGCTTGTCCTTTGACAATCTTATAGTAGCTACTGGCACATTAACTGCCAGACATCAGTTGAATTTCATGTCAGTGCTGGCAGGGTATCAATAGTAATGAACTACTATGTGTAGATGGCATTACTCTCCTGCCAGTCATATGTATTTTGATGATCAGGCATTAACTTTATTAAGGAAACATATTTATAATTTCATGTCAGTAAAGGCAATCCAAGAACCATTGTGTATCAAAAAAAAGCATCCAGATCTAAAAATAATTATAGAATGCTACTAATAGTTTTTTTAAAAAATTTCTTCTCTACCTTCAAACATCTGATATTTTTCTTTCCTTCTGGAAAACATTTGTTTTCCTTTGTTTTTCCCAGAATCTGTGTGTGTTTCTTGGGGAAATATTATAGAGGGAACAGTAGGAAAAAAAATCATAGGGTTAATGTAGCCTTTGTGATTTAGAACATAGACTAACAAGTTGGAAGGGACTTTGGAGGTCTTCTCGCCCAACCCCTGCTCAATCAGGAGACTTTACCCCATTCCAGACAAATTGTTGTCCAATCTCCTCTTTATGAACTGGCAATGAAAATTATTCATGTTTAAAAACATCACCGTTAAGAGAAATATTACTAATTACATTGATTTAAAGACTGACAGACAATCTGTGGCATAACTTATTTTACTATCATATCTGTACATAAATGTATGATATATTCTGCTCATGCTGAATGTTCTGTTCTAGTTTTGCTGCTAAGTAAGTCCTGTAACAAGCAAATGATTGGAATGTTTAGAGCAGGAATGGATAATATGGGCGTTTTATGACTTGTGGATTTGAACTCCCAGAATTCCTGAGCCAGCCATGCATGGGGTTGAATTCTGGGAGTTGAAGTCCACAGGTCATAAAGGGGCCATAGTCACCCACCTCTGCTTTAAGGAGTTGGTAGTGATTTTTTTGCTCTAAAGGTATGAATGGATTCTACAGTATAAGAATATTAACAGTTGCTCTTTAAGTGATATGCTTTGTTGCTAACTTATTTCTTGGATGGTTCCATTAGCTTCTGATTTATCCTGCGTGGGGACCCAGATCACTTGTATGATCACACCATTTGGATCCAACAAGAGTCTGTTTAATCATTTGTTCTGCCCTTTGGATAATCAACTGCTTCAGTCTGCCTTTGACTTCAGCGTCCAGTGGAGCTAAGATTGCCACCAGCTTAACTTCTCCTTCTCCTCCTTCGGCCACCTGCACAGCATACTGCAGAATACAGTTGCATACTTCACCTTTGAGCTCCTCAGGGAAAATGATGTAGGCAATTACACCTGTTCCCTTTACTCGAATAATCAAAGAAATATCTCCTTTATTATTCAGCTGGATCATGGCGGGTGAGTACAAGAAGTGAGAGAAGTGACCATTTTGCTTTGAGGGCAGCCATGTTCCCTAACTCCAGGAGAAGAAATTCTACTGGGTGTTTTGAGAGAAACCAGTTTTCAGTCTAATTTTAGCTTTTAGAAGATTTCATAGTTGATCTGTACCTTACCAAAAAGCAGGCTTGGCTTAGCCTTTTCCCCTTACTCTCTCCTTCTGAGTAAGGGCACTGAGCCTATCATCATTATCATCTGAGCTGCACTTTCAGCCTTTTTGATGTATTCATGTTGGCTGATTTAGTAAGGCAAAATATGTGATATCCTGTCATTGTATAATGAGCTTTCCTACCTGATCCCATTTCTTTGGCTCTTTTTGCATCAGAGAGTGAATTTCACTATGTTACTGAATTCCTTAAGTTTCCTCATGGAAAGTTACTAGTGAGAAAGAGAAGGTGCAACCTGTCTACTTTTGGCAACAGCATTCTGTTGCCATAATATTTATTTCTAGCTTGTTTTGTGTGTTGGAGTAGAAAATGTATAGAAATTGACATCTGCTTGTGAAAAGACACAAGTCTTCATTACTTCTATATTCTATCTAGGGTAGCATAAACACTTGAAAAAACAGATTGCAAATTAATTTGTGCAGTTAAAAAAATGACTGAAGAATAATCTATTGTTACTGAGGTGCTACTAAAAAGAGGAAATATTTTTTTAATTGGCCTGTAATAATGAGTGATGGAATTAGAAATGGGTGAGGAGAGATGGGTGAAGCTGCAAAATATGCCAAGATAAGCCTTGCTATTCTGTTTTTGCTACATGTGATTTTATTTATAGCTTCTGTGCATACTATCCAGTGTTACTAATTTTGATCATCATTTGTGACTGATAATGTAAAAATTGTTGCTGCGCTCTAAACTAAAGTGGGAAAAGTCTTCTCTTTTAGTTACTGTAGATTAAACGAGTGGTTCCTTTCTTTCCTTTCTGTTTTATATGATAAATTTTAGAATACAGATAGTCCATGAGTTATGTTCATAATTGTGCCATGATGGTTGTTAAGTGGGTCATCAGAGGACTGTACACAATTTTGCAACCTTTTTGCAACAGCTGTTCAGCAAACATGGCAGTCAACGCAGATGTTGTTAATGAATGCATTAACAGTGCAAACCCATTGTTTGTTATGGGTATGTTTTGAAAGTAAACATCAGTTTGTAGAAAAAAATGTAAATTGTCAAATGACAACAGGATGCTTCAAATGGACGTAAATGCAGATCAGTTGCCAAGTGCCCAAAATACGGTCAGATGACCCTGGGGATGGGCAGCCTTCAGAATTTCAAATCCTGGTCGTAAGTCCCTTTTTGGGGGGCTCATTAATTAACTTCCAGAAGTGGTTGTCAGTCAAGATCTACCTGTAGAAGGCCACTGGGAAGCCCTTTACTTTTCTTAAAAATAAAAATAACCAAACAAAAATCTCAAAAGTCCCTCTGCCTTGATTAGGAATTGGGTATTGACATCAAAAGTAGCATTTTTCTGTAATAAAAATATGTATATTATTTTCTTTAGGTGGCAAATAAGGATTGTATATGAGTATATGTCGCTGAAAGGATAGGTCCTCTCACTTCTTTATGTACATCCACAATTTGAGTAGCTGCACTTTCATATATTTTTGCCCTCTGTACCAGTGATGGGATTCAGATTTTTTTTACTACCAATTCTATGGGCGTGGCTTGGTGGGCATGACAGGGGAAGGATGCTGTAAAATCTCCAGTCAGTTCTCTGAACTAATCAAAATTTCCGCTGCCTGTTCTCCAGAACTGGTCAGAACTGCTGAATACCACCTCTGCTCTGTGCTATCTGAGTTACAGAATAGTATGAATTGACTTAATAAATGCACAAATACCCATTTCTACAAAATGGTTTCATTTGTGTTAAAAAAAAGAAAAGAAAGAAATGAGGTTTGATTTCTGGCTTTGAGAAGAGAAGGGCTATAAAAGAAAAAAGATATAGATTACAGTATAGAAGACAGGATACATTGTATGTTACTACTGTAACTAGTTCCACATCATTATCCCGCCTCCCCAGGTTTCTTTACATACCTTTAGATGATGAATTTCAATAATTTCAAATAGTGGAAATTTCCCCCCCCCTCAAGGATTCTGAAATTATGTAAGAATACATTTTTTTCAGGAACCAGTTTGGTGCACTGGTTATAGCACCAGGCTCAAAAGTGGGAATGTGATGTTTAGTTTTGCCTTAGGCACAAAACCAACTGGATGACCTTGAGTCAGCCATACATACTCAGTCCTAGGAAGAAGGCAGTAGCAACCACTTCCAAAATCTTGCCAAGAAAACTGCTAGACACAACAGTCACCTGTCTCAACACTGACTCAAAGACACATACACAAAAAGTCCTTCCTGTCTGACTTTTATGGACAGGTCCATGTACTGTGGATTTCTTGACAGCAGAAGTGGTTTGCCCATCTTGGATGGATAGATGGACAGACATATAGTCTTCTCAGCCTTACAGATTCTGAATGTTATCTCATTCAAGCATTACCCAGCTCCAGTTCTGCTTAGATTTTTTTGAGATTAGCTAAGGTCAGCTAGGTTTTTTTTTTAATCTCCTAACTAGTTAAAAAATGAAGTTCCATTCATATGTTATAGATGAGGAACTAACTTAGAGAGTGACCTTTATTGGACTCTGAACAGGCACTAATGGTAATTTAGTTACTGCTAATAAAAAGTTAATAATTAATGTGAGACTTCATAATTATTGTTTCTTACAGCTGTGTGTAAACACTTTCTCTCTCTCCCTCTCCTCCACCATGTCCTCAATGTTTTTTTTTTCATTTAAGAAATAGCCTGTTTTCTTGAGAATGTGGACAGTGACTTTTCTATATTAAATGGAAGGGCAGGGATATATATAATGACATATATACCAGTTGCTGAGCCTATTATTTTACCATGAGATAGGGAAATCAGTGTGACAAAGGGAGTGGGGATGCAGATGACAACCAAACTAGACTTAACTTTATCTGTTAACCATCTGTAAAAAACCCAGTAGAGGATTTATGAAATGCAGTTGGAAGTTCAGTCCCTTTTAAAAATATATATATATTTTTGTTCTTCTAACAGATCTTTGCAGTATGCTTCCCCACTTCCTTTATCCTTCTAGCAATCTAACTATGGAGCAAGCTTTGGAAAGTCAAATAACACTGAACTGCACCGTGCAGCTGCCTTTCAGTAACGACTGTGATCTTGACTTGCGCTGGATGAAGGATAATCAGTTCTTAGGCAATGACACTCCTGCTTCTTATACTCACTGGTAAGAAAACTTTTATGTAAAATTATCCTTATTTGGTTGCACAGTGGGGGCAGTGAGGAGGGTAGGAAGTCTCTCAAACTGAAGATTTTCTGAAGACAATCATCGCACTATATGTGGGGCTGCCCCTGAAGATCATTCAGAAACTTCAGCTGGTGCAGAATGCAATTGTGAGTTTAGTAAATGGTGCCAAACAGATGGCACACATAATACCACCTCTGTGTGAGCTGCATTGGTTACCAGTGTTTTTTCTGGGTGCAATTCAAGATGCTAGTGGTTACTTTTGTAGTCCTACAGGCCTTGGGACTTGGATACCGAAGGGATCACCTTTTTCAAGAGACTATATCTATCTATCTATCTATCTATCTATCTATCTATCTATCTATCTATCTATCTATCTATCTATCTATCTATCATCTATCTATTCATCTACTATCTATCTATCTACTATCTATCTATCTATCTATTCATCCATCCATTCATCCATCCTGCTGATCAACCAAAGAGTGTTGGCTGGCAAGAACTAGAAGATGTGCTTTTCCCCCAGTAGCCCCTGCTCTATGGAACTCTCTTTGGAGATTAGAATGACCCGAACCCGGTCAGGCTTTCATAAGGCCCTAAACACCTGGCTGTGTTCCTAAGCCTTGGGAGCTGAATGTGTTAAAGGTCCTATTTCCTGGCTGTATTGCTAATTGGCTAAGTATCTTGGCTGCTACGTATATTTATTTTAGGTATTTCTAATGTTTTAATGTTTTTTTTAGTATTTTTGATTGTAATATATATATATTTTGAATTTTGCATTATTTACTGAGATGGGCAGCTATAGAAATTGAATGAATTAATGAATGAATGACATACCTACATACCTACCTACTGCTGATTTCTCTGGAATGTGAAGCACATTTGCAGTGAAACTGATGTTATGGAGTGGAAGGTACATTTGCTGTATTTCTAGGAAAGAATTCTTATACTGAATTTTAGAAAAGGCATATATATGCCAAAAGAAAAAAACCCAGAAAGAAAAAGTTTGTTTTAAAATGAGAAATTACTGTATGTCTAACAGGACAGAGAGAGAATAGTTGTCTTAGTTTTAGAATAGATATGAACACACCTTCCCAGAGTTATGGTGTGTAGTAATGCTGAGGTGCTCAATGACATAAATATATAGAAAATTTGTATGATTTAATAATATGAGAGGATGACATGGGCTGTATTATATTACCATCATCAGGGTAGTGCCTACTACCATCCAGGGAATCTGGGCAGTAGATTCTTGTGAACTCAGTAATCAATTCAAATCCTCATTGGAAAAATAATTTATGTTTCTCCAATAACAAAATGATATGTTTCAGATGTATTACCCCCAATGCAAACATTTTTTTAAAAAAATGGTGATTCTGCAATCCGCTCTCCACCCTCCTTTTTCTTAGGACTTTTGCATTTGTCTATTGACTTTTCTGAGTGGAAATGAAAATAGAAACTGGCTACAACCTGGGTTGGTGGGTTCCTTTGCCACGGACCAATTTTAGCCTGGGCCCAGAGGTTGAGCAGGTAGGGCTTTGTTAAGTGTTTGGATGGAGGAGAAAACCAGAAGAAGTCATGGCTGTAGGTTAGATAGAGAAGCTGAAAATATCTCATACCCCTTGATAAAATTCTGTTCATGATAAGTTAGCTATAAAATGCTTTTGCGCCGAGAGCCACGAAGGTGTGTTCAAGTACCAACTGAATTTCTCTCTATTCTCATAAGATATGTCTAACATAATGATTTTTAAAATCCACATTAACCTTTACTTTATCGTACCATAAATATCCATGCCATCCAAATCTCTGATCATGTCCTTCTAACTCCAAGAGCTTGAACATTAGTTGACAACATTCCAGAAGAAGAAAATGACAGACTGTTTCTGTACTGAAACTGCATGGTTGTGTCCTTATAATCATGAAGAATTAACCTTGATTCAAGAGTATTATTATACTTTTAAAGTATTCAGTAATAATTAGAGTGAAGCCAATGAGACTTCTTTGCAATGCCTAGTAAGTTTAGAAAGGGCAATGAGGGAAAGAGCTCATAGAAGAGGCAGAGCTGAGAAACTATTGAAGAACGGTATTTGCTTGGCCAAATAGATAGCTATAGGATGATCTTTCTCTAGTCATCTTCCACTTGATCTAGGGAAAGCTTACTGCAGAATTTTGGGAGTCCACAAGTCTTAAAAGTTGCCAAATTTAGAGACCCCTGTTCTAAACTTCTCTATCACCAACAGTTGTGCTAATATCTGGAGTCCGTCCACCTGCCCACCATCTTCAAACTGCTGCAGGAAACAAAAGATGGGAGAAGTGGTTAGAATAGGGGTGTCAAACTCAATTTCATTGAGGGCTGCATCAAGATTGTGTTTGACCTTGAAGGGCCGGGGCGTGGCTGGGGTGGGCATGGCCAGGCTCCCAAGCTCTGTTTTCTGCTGCGAGGGCCTCCTGCAACCCTCTGCCATTGAAAATGGAGAAAATGGAGCTCCGTTTTCACTGACAGAGGCACTGCAGGCAGGTCCTTTTCTGTTTCCAGGGTGGCCCCGCAGGCCGGATCCAGCACCCCATTGGCCGGATCCAGCCCGTGGATCTTGAGTTTGACACTCTTCGGTTAGAATAATGGCAAGGCAACAGCTTGGATAAGAACAAATGAAAAATCATGACACTAACATGGTGAACTCTTTTGGAGTTTTGGATGCCTCTTTCTGAACAGCAGAAACCCAATGGATCAAAATATTTAGATTTTTTTTTGTCTGTGTATTTGTTTGTTTGTGCTTTTTATTCTCTTTCTGATACTCTTACTCAAAGAGAGAATACAGCAGGAGCAGGCCTACCACCCCAACCTTTGTGAGTAGCCGCATTTCATAAAAATGACTCCTTAGAAAAGCATTTGAGAACAAGGCAGCTTTTATTCAATCCTCAGATTGTGGCACAACAGACTGGTTCTGTTAGCGGTTGAATTTGTCTCTTTTTCTTAAGTCTTCTGTTGCGTTGGTTGCTGTATGTTGCTCAGAGCCTGTGAGAACTGAGTAGTGGAAAATCCTAAGTAAATAAATCTATTATGATTCCACTTCAGCTTTTCTAAAAGCTGAAGACCTCTGTGAAACAATGGGACGCTGATACAGTAGTTTCACCACAGAAGCTTTTAAAGTCAATCTTTTGGAATTCCACCTTCTTTGGTTCTGTGGAATCACTCTGCTGGGTTGGATAAAATAACCCTAACTTGGGAAGGAGGCTTCTTATTTACTTTCATGATTCTCAATGGGTAGACCATGTGTTGTTTTCCCCTTGTCTTTTCCCTTTGTGGGAGTCAGATTTGTATATATTTCCTCTCTCCTTTAGTTCTTTCCCTCTCACTCTCACTCTCACTTCCTTAGGTGATGTGGGGATGACTCTCACAATGCCCTTGAGCATAAAGCTGGAAAGATATTTTAAGCTCATTAATTTTGTTATTGATTGTCAATAATTGTTCACAAATAGTCTGACCTACAAGCAGGCATTATTCAGCTGTAGAATCTATAGAAACCTAGGCTCGCTCTCCCCTCCCCTTGAACACCTCTGTAAGCAGTACTATATTGGTTATGCGTTTCTGCTTGGGCAGGGCATTGGACTAAATGACCTCCAGAAGGTCCCTTCCAACTCTGTTATTCTATTCTATCCTTCTCTAGTATAATATTAATTGATGACTCCTATCTTTTCAGCCCTATGCCCAGGATAGGAAAACACTCATTGTCAGAACTAAGCACAGCAAAGTTGTTAAGCATAAATAAAGGGCTTAACTCTACAATATCTTTATTTTTCAGTATTTTGTCAATTGTTAGTTGTTATTTTTTCAATAAAGGGGGAATCTACTTTCTGGTCTCATTCTACTACATTTTTGTAGTTAGGTTTACTTTACAGTTTTGATCTAATTGTGTTGATTTTTGGAATAGAAGCGTAGAGAAATGGAAGGATTTATACTCTTTGAGACAGCTGGTCATTTGCATTCTTTTAGAGAGTTGTTAAGGTCACCTGGAGGTTTATCTGTGTCATCAGGGTCACCTGAGTAATGCTATTTGATATGGAGCCTATTTGGAACTGTTGAAAGGACTGTGTTGTAGACTGGAGATAGAGAGGGCTGTTCCATTTTGACATAAATGTTAACCCTTCTTTTGACATAGAGGCCATCTATGTCAAAATGGAACAGCCCTCTTTCAACAGAGGGGGAGGGATACAACATCATCTATCTCCAGTCTACAAAACAGTCCTTTCAACAGTTCCAAGAAGGCTCCACACCCATTTGCACCACTCAGATAAACAGATAAACCTCCAGGTGACCTTAATGACCTGCTAAAAGAGTGCAAATGACCAGCTGTCTGCAAGGAGTATAAATCCTTCCATTCCCCCACCATCCAGTCAGAGGTGAAGTAGTTTATTGGATGAGAAGTGAAACGTTTTCAAAGAAAAACCAGAAAGTCCAGTTATCTCTTGAAAAAGGCACCTTTGGGGTTCACACAGTGTACTTTCATAGGTAGCGTTAGGAGTTTTTGTGTAGCCCAATTCTGAAATTTCTTGATTTTCATCATTTGCTTTTCTTCCAAAATAACAATATTTAGCAGTATGCTAACTTTTTTGTTTGTTTGTTTTCCAGGTTCAGTGACAATGAAACCAAAATATTTATCTCCAGTTCTTTAGCACTAAACATGACTGATGAAAATTATGGAGTTTTTGCCTGCTTCATTAGAAATAGTACAGCTCTTTTTACACTGAAAAAATCAGGTAGTGTGCCCGTGAAAATAGTCATAAAAATTCTATTGATTATCATTGCAGCTACACGTGCACAGCATTGTTTAATAATAATGAGTTCACAAAATCATCATAATAAATATCCATTCAAGAGCAGTTTTCTGATTCTGTTGATCAAATGACAAACTAATGAATTCAAGTATTTATTTGCTGTATTTGCTGTATGGTCATAAGCAAAATAAATATTCATATAATCTTTTTCATTATTAATGCAGTTTAAAACATGGGGGGTAGGAAGTTGAGTTGGCCTTCCATCTGCTGGATGATTTTGGTGAGCACAAAGTAGAACAAATAGGAGGAAATAAAAGATATTTTATCTTTTATAAAGATAAATCCTGGAGGAAATAAAAGATATTTGTGCTTAAATTAAAAGAGGGTGAGCAAAACATTGGGCTTCTGAAAATGAGAAGCATCATTAACTTAGGAGCTCATTGTATAAGAGCAGTATTGTAACAAGCTATCCTCTGTGAATCTAAGGAGAAAAATTGCCACATGATGGCACCAGGTAACAACAAAATTTTCATGGTTGAAGACTATGCTGGGAAGTTGAAAAACATTCTGGAAGAAGGTAATGTAGTGGCAAACCACTTCCATCCTGTAAAATAATTTCAGGGCAATGCATTGTGAGATATGGAATATATTAGCCTGAAAACCTGTACTCTTTCATTTCCATATTCTTAAAAATGTCCCTGCTTGGCTGTGTCTACGAAGTCTTTAGGAGTTGAGCTTCAACTTGGCTTGGCTTCTTCAAGGAACATATCCATTTATCCTGGCCAGAGTTAAGCTTGGCCCAAAAATACTTTTTTTCCCCCTTCTTAACAAAAATGTAAACGTTGAGTAGCATCCATGCTACACATTTTAAGTTTGGGGGAGGGCAAACTTATTTTGGTATTTTAAGCATGAACGATTCCTCAGTGACTCTGGACATGCTACTATGTTATTTTAAAGGAGTATTCTGCAGACTTTTTTTAGAGCACTCTGTTGCAGCTTTCAGATGCCAAAAAGACTTAAAAGCCAGTTTCGGTGTACAAATGTACAAAATAAGCTCAACTCTGATGTATGTCAGAAATTGACTTCACATTCATCCTTCATCCCAAGACCTTCATTTATTGTGAATAGGAATACTCACCACAGAGAATTTTAACTTTCCATTTTTCAAATTCTGCTCACCTCTGTCGTTATGTTGCTGTTCCTCTTGTTTAGACAGCAATGCGTCAATTTTTTCCCCAATAGAATCAGCTTTCACTTTTAACTCTACCCTACAGTGTACTGTTTTGCCACAAATTGTAATTAATGTTGTTTGCTTCTTTTTCAGAAGACACTGTTGGGCACTTGGGCGCAGTGCTAGCTACGTTTTTTGCTGCAGCACTCCTGCTATTTGTAGCTATAATGTATGTGAAGTGCCGGCTGAATGCTCTGCTCTGGTACCAGAATCATTATGGAGAAGTAGAAATCAATGGTATATATGTGTCCCTTTTCCTCTTGATTCAGAATATTTAACATTTGGAGAAGTCATTGAAATAAGAGAGGAGGTTTTTTTTTTAAAAAAAACAAACAACTATATGGGATCTTAAAATTCTAGCCAAGCCAATATTTTTATATCTTTCTTTTAAATGGGAATAATCAGGTGCCACAACAGGGGCCAGTCTGCTGTCTCTTGACACCCAGGGATCTGTGGAATAGATGAGGGAAGCCAGCAAAATTCAATTTATTGAATTTATGTCCTGTTCTTCAGTTTAAGTTTGTCTAACATTCCATCTATTTATGGGACATTGCCTCCAAGATTATTCCAAACTCAAAGGTCAAAGTTAACACCTCTCCATCCCATTTTGAAATTTCACAACAAAAAAGCTATCAGTATCATGGGAATTAGATGAGATTGATTTTTTTTAAAAAAAATCTGTTGATATAACATACTGTATTTCTCTATGCTTTCTTCTACAGATGGAAAAATTTACGATGCCTATGTATCTTATGCTGATTCAGTGGATGATAGAAAATTTGTGAATTTCATAGTGAAGCCACAGCTAGAGAATCGCTATGGTTACAAGCTCTTTTTAGATGAGAAGGACATTCTGCCCAACTCAGGTAAGAACCTAGTACAAGAAAGGCCAGTGTTTGGTAGGTTGGCTCTACAGCCTAGCTTCCTGAATTGGCAGAGGACTGCAGGAGAACATCCAAAGATACCACCAAAAGGGATTTTTTTTTATTTTTATTTCTCAGTTGGAACAGGAAGGTAGGAACAGGAAAACTTCCAGAAGCAAACCATTCCTAATCTTTCCTTCAAATGGAACGTGGGTGAAATAATTTGTACCAATTTGAACATTTTGTTGTTAAATTTCAGCAGCAGGTTCTTGGAGTTACCTCACAAAGGCCTAGGTTTTTTTACTTTGGTCCTGTCCAGTGGAATGATTTGAGTGAATCAAGAGAAATGTCTAATTAATTTGCTGTTTGTCCTCAGGTTCATAACAGAGTAGCTTTTTTTCAATGCTGACATACTGAAGGGAATATGTTTTATATTTGAATAATCCATCTTAACCACTAGATCAAATTGGCCATCTTACAGCAAACTCCTGGCAAGAAAGCAATAACAGCAGAGCACCATTAGATTTTAACAACCAGGATAGTGTGTAATGCAGGGGTCTTCGAAATTGACAGCTTTAAGACTTCAACTCCCAGGATTCCTCCTCCAGTCATATTAGCTCAGGAGTTCTGGGAGTGAAGTCCACAAGTCTTAAACTTGCCAAGTTTGAAGACTCTTGGTGTAATGGATATTGCTAGAGTATTAACAGCTGGCTCCAGGGAATAGAGAAAAAAAAAGATTTTTCTTCCAAAGGAAGAACTGCATCTCCACTGATCATGATGCTTCAGGAACATTCTGAAACTCATCATCTCCTTATGAAAAAATGTCCCCCATCTGGAACAAGAAGCCCTCTCTGCAGGGCCACTATTGTCAGGATTCAGCTTCACTTTATTTGCCTATTCTTGGGGGTGGGGGGTGGGGGAAATTTGCCACATTCAGACATCGGTCAAAAAGCGGCATGAATTCTCTTGATTCAGAAAATATAGAGACGTAGAGCCTGCTGTTATCAATGTACTGATGAAGTCCCTGCTGATGTTTTCATCTAAATGTTAGACATCACTGGGGACAGAATAAATTCCTGTGGAACTTTACAGCTTAATTGTCACCAGAGATATAGTCACCCAGAGCTATTTTTCTCAAGAATAGCCCTGAAGTAGAAAAGAAACCAGTCTAAAAATATGGCCCGGATACCTTATATGACAGAGATGCTCCTGACGAATACTTTGGTTAAAAGAATCAGGAGCAATTAAAAAACTAAACAGGATCAACAATTTATACAGTATTTCCCCTGATTCTCTAATAGAGATCTGATAGAGATCTTCCATCCCAACATTTCAAAGTCCCAAATTATGGGACTTAATTTAGATTTGGATGATGATGATAAAAGGCTCCTGAATAAGGTAAAGATGAATGATTTTAAAAAAATCCAAATAAATAATCTTCTTTTCCAGAACCATCTGCAGATCTGATTATGAATGTCAGCCGATGTCGACGCCTTATTGTGGTTCTTTCTTATGCATATTTAGAACAGGAATGGTGCAACAATAATTTCAAGTAAACACTCATTTCTTTAACATTTGTGTGTGTGCGTGTGTGTGTGCGTGTGTGTACTTGCTCCTTCTCTCATGTCTTTTTTTTAATGCTGTACTACCTTGTAAGCTGCATTTTGCGGTGATGCATAAACTAATAAACTGCTCCTTGTATAAATCTTCCAAACCAAGTTTTCAAATTATTTATTCTGTTTTCCAATTTCTGTTTCATGAGTTTTTGCAGGTCACTGCTTGGTTTGAATATCAAGGTTTCTGACTTGAAAAACTAATACAGTAAATATTCTATTCAACTGAGTATGCGTATGTGGCTCATTCTCAATCTTCCAAGCTATAGTAGAAGACATGGAGAATGTAATATTTGCAATCACTTTTTTTTAAAAAAAAAAAAACCAGGCTCCTAGGACCTAGGTCATCTTAGTCACAGCAAGTAAAATCTCTCCTAAGCTTTGAAAATGATACATAGGAGACTAAAATTTGTGCTTTGCATGTGAGCTTTTGATATTTGAGCAACCGATATGCTTCTAAGCTTAATGAAGCTTGGATATGATATATATTAGATGAATGAAAGAAATGCAAGTGTTTTACTGCAGAGTGCAGAACTATCAATAATGATAAAAACTTAAGTTTTATTGGTAATTCTGTAAAGCCATTGCCTATTCTTTTTTTTTTTTTTTAGGGAAGGTCTTTGGAGACTGCTGGAACTCTCCCGGAAGCCAATCTTCATTGTCTTTGAGAGCCAATATCGGGACATAGCACATCCAGCCATTACTTTGCTAAAGCAGCACAAGAGCAACGTGACCTTGTTGATGTGGCATGCTGGTTCCATGGTAAACTGAGAACAAAAAAGCTGCAACCTTATCCTTTGGGTTCTTCTTTTGAATAGCAAGACAATATTTGAGATATTATTCTAAATGTAGAGGGAGCTTCTCTTCTGAGAAGGACCATAGTCAATCCTTTAATTATTTACCTAATAGCATTAGATATTGAGAAGCTGTGGCTATACTTTGAGGTCTAGATTTTGATTTCATATATTAGTAAAATAAATGAGAAACATTTGCTAATTGTGCAACTTTTCATAATTGACTATTTCAGAAGTGGTGAATCTATAACTTCCCAAGATAATAGACTCGGTAGCCAGCATAGTTAGTGATGGATGCTGAAAATTGCAGTTTTCAACTTTGGTAGGTGGTAATCCTTGTTAGAAAATAGATTATTGGGTTTTACAAGTCACATCTCTCTCAATCTCTATCTCTGTCTCTGTCTGTTTCTCTCTCTCTCTTTCTCTGTCTCTCTCCATAATGTATTAGTCTTAAGTGCTGCTGCAGGAAATTGTAAGAAAAAATGTTATAATGTCTTTAAAAGGAACAAGCAAAAATCCATAACGAGGCACCAAAACCAGGAAAAATAAAAATTAATAATACATACTGTTTTTCACCCAAGATGTTTAATGCACAGATAGTTCAAAGGCAAATAAAAGATATGGATCAGAGAAGATGAAAAAACACAAATATTCTCAAAGCAGGAATGTCGAAAACCATTGTATCAATGTACTTGTTTATTATTTGGTCTTATTTCTGTTTTCATATCAGTAGTAAATGGATAATAACACGGTCTTTTTCATTGGGTTATTGAAGGAGGGATGGAAACTTCTCTTGAGTTATGAAACTAATTTTACAAAAGCTTAGTAAATAAGTTGAATATTTGAAACAATCCTTATTCCATAGGAAAAAAAACCCAGAAGATGTGATTTCCACCCCCACACCCTTCCCTACGAATGAAATATCTCCTGGCTTAGTAAAAAGTGTCTAATTTAAATTTTCTGTGTAGTGTTTCCTGATTTGTGCTTGAACTAAATTGTATGATGCTGTTCGAGAGGATCAGGAAATTATTTTCTTGCCAAACGGAAATTAATTGGAAAAAAGAGCTCAGGAAGGATTCTAAAATGAATACATTAAAAGATCAAATGCAAATAATTCCAACGGGGTGGTCGTGGTAGAGCATATATACAGTGTCAGACATAGAAAGAGAACCAGATTCTCAAGAAAAGGATCCGTGGAAAGTTTTGTTCTCCTGCAGTGGATTTGTTGAAAGCTAGACTGCTACCTGTCAGGAATGCTTTAATTTGGATTTCTCTACAAAGTGCGGGTTGAACAGGAATGCTTTATTCCATGATTTGATAGAAGTCTGACAACACGTATTTATATACAGGTAGTTCTCAATTTATAACCACAGTTGAACCCAAAAAGTCTGTTGCTAAGCAAGACAATTAAGTATATTTGCCCCATTTTACAACCTTTCCTGCCCCAGCTGTCAAGGAATCACTGCAGTTGTTATATTAGTAATACAGTGGTTAAATGAATTTGGCTTTCCCACTGACTTTGTCAGAAGGTCACAAAAAGGGAATCACATGTTCTTGGGACACTGCAACAGTTGCCAAGCATCTTACGATCACTGCAACTGTGGGGAAGTTGCAATGATCGTAAACATGAAAAATGGTTATACATCTCTTTTTTCAGTACTGTTGTAACTTCCAATGGGCACAAATGGAATGGTTATAAGTCAAGGACTACCTGTGTTTTTATTAAATGTTACATTTCTAAGAATCTTCTTTCATTCTTACTATGCAGTTTTCAGACCGGTTGCCTTTCTTCTTTATTACATTGAACAGAGGTGCATTTAAAATCTGGAGGGGACATTGTTTGATTTTTGTTTTTCCTTGTGTGATATCAGAACAAGGCATTTTCGAAAAGTTCTTTGAAGTTCTTGTCTTCTTTGCCTTGCTTGCTCTTCCAGACTTCTCTCACAGTTATGGAGAGTGATTCTTTCTATTTTCTGTCCACGTTTTCCAAAATCCTTATCGCTGATTGAAAAATAGAAGCATGTCAGCCATGTGGATGTAGAGGACTGGCCAAAATCTGGAGATCATCACAAAATGGTCTTCATGTAATTTTCAGAATTGTGAGGATCTCAATTCTTACTCTGAAGTGAATTTGTTTTTAGTTTTGAGTCACATGACCTAGCAGGAAATCTGATCTGTACTATATTTGTTTGTTGGTGCCCACTGTTTTTTTTTAAAATATATATACCAAAATAAGTGATGCTCCTAGGGAAAATGACATTTTCAGTCACATAATCCTTGTTGCTTCTATTCAGTATGCACGTATTAGCTATCAACATCAGTAGCAAGGAATCATTTCCTAATGGTTGGACTACATTTACACAGATATTTTGTGCTAAATTCATCTTTAAAATTTTACACACACACACACACACAAATGGAGTTTAGGAGGACCTTTCAGTTTGCCAATATGTGGAGATTATACTTCGATATGCAAGAGAGCAATAACACTTTCGCCATTGTTAAGGCTTAACATATTCAGATCCTGCTAAACTGTAGAGTAACTAAAACTCTATTTTAGTTTTAAACCTCCTCTTTTGCGGTTTATTACCCATTAGAAGACCAGCATGATTTAATTTACACTATAAAGAATCCTAAATAAGTAAATAAAAGTGATCAGGAAATTAAAATGAAGACTGTAGAAATATCTGCCTCCTGTGCAATACTAATAACAAGAAATCCTATTTCAAAAACAGTGCTGCTACCTGAAAAATTTCCATCTAAATCCAACATGGGAGGGCTCTGCAGTTTGCAATCAGTACATGAAAGCTATACAAATGTAAATAAATTTCCCATTTACTGTTATTTCTAAATCGCACAGGACCAGTGTGTTAATCTTTTGTTTTGATTCTCCTTATACGAACGAGAGAAGCAAGGCTGTCACTCTGATCTTAATAGCTGGGGCTCCTGATTTGGATCCCCCCCCTCATAATACCGAAATAAAGCTCTCATTTAACATATCTCCTCAAAAATAAGGCAGCACAAGAAGAAATTATCTCAAGAGAGATTTTAAAGTGGTATTTGATGGAGGCTTTTCTGTCATGGCTAAATCATTTCATTCAATAAATATAAAGGGTTACTACATTCTATCAAGATAAGTTCTAAGAATGCTGATCCCAGTTTTCTAAAAAAAAGGGGACTATTAAATTATACACTAATCAGTGTAATATATTTTTTTAAAAAATATAAGTGAAATATTGCTCACTTATGAGGAATGGGTCCTGCTGCTTGATGAAACTGCCGGAAAATGAGTCAACGGTTCAAAATTAGAGAGCAATTTTGTATTTGATCATTTAATTCATGTTAACATAAATAAATTGATGCAGCTTTTGTGGACTTTGAATCAGACAGACTATTTTTTAACCAACTGAAATACATTCTAAAAGAAACTTGCTAATACCAACATCAATTACTATCTGTTAATTTTATTGAGAGTGATATACTCAAATTGCATACTCTCAGTATAATTGCTTTCTCTTGGTGTAAGGGGAAAAACATAGCCAAATCCGGAGCCCCACCCTGATTAAGATCAGAGTGACAGCCTACTTCTCTTGTTCATTCAAGGAGAGTCGGAATGAAAGATTAATGCTCTGCTCCTATTCAATTTAGAAATATCAGTAAATGAGAAGCATATTTTTCTTATGTTTAATGCCTAGTTATATTTTACTTTCGGTCGTAATTATGCATTGCTCTCCTTTCATTTTAACTTAACAAATTTGCCCTTAATCAAAAGGATATTGCTCTTTTCCTGTTATAATCACCAAGAAAAGGCAGCCTGTTTTTTTAAAAGCAGTCAATTCAATAAAGTACTCTTGTCCTGTTCCTATATAAGCTTCTTGACTTATTAGGTGCTATCAGGTTATTGTCAACTCTTAGCAAGTATATAGACAGATTTTCTCCATCATGATCTCTCCCTAATCAGTTTTTTTCAGGTCTTCCAACAGGGCACACATCACTTCTATAACTCTGCCCATTCATCTTTTCCTCTTCTTTTTCCTTCCCCCCTTCCCAGCATTAAAGCCTTCCCCAAAGAGCTGGGTCTTCACATAATCTGTCCAAAGTAGGATAATTTGAGCCTGCTCATTTGTGCCTCAAGTGAGAACTGCGGCTTGATTTTTTTTTTCCTGTGACCCATGTATTTGTTTTCTTGGTTGTCTACAATATCCTTGAGGGTCTTCTCCAACAAAAGTTCAAACCATCAATATTCTTCCTATCCTCCTCTTTCAAACCCAACTTTTGTTTCCATAGAGGGTCCCAGAGCATGCCATAGTTTGCACAATTCTGTTCTTTGTTAAGTACAGGCGTCTCACAGCATTTGAATATCTTTTCAAAGGCCTTCATGGCTGCTCTACAAAATGCTTTGCTGCAGTGTATTTCTTGAAAGATTGTTCCCTTATTGTTGATGGTTAATTCTGAAAAGCAGTAGCTACCACTTCAATATCTCCATTGTCTAGGACTGGTGGTTCTATTTATTATTGTAATGCTGTTTCTTGTCTCTTCTAAAATCTCTCTGAAACTATTATGTTCCTTTCTGAGATTTTTTGTCTTTCTTGGCTTTGGCTTCTCTTCTTGACATTTTCCTGGTTTGTTCTGGCATCCAGTTTGCTTTCTTCTGTTTCATCTTTGGCAGTCTCTTTTCACATTCATCCTTAGCAACCTGTTTGAGTTTTCCATAGTTCTTCTGGTTCTCTATCAACGAGGTTCAGGATTTCAAAGTAATTTCTGATCTTCTCCTTGAAAATGGTTGGTATATGTTCAAGAACATACTGTGAAAACTGGCTGGCTTTCTTCTTCTTTAGCTTAACTTGGTACTTGCACATGACCAGTTTGTTGATCTGTTCCACAGCCATATGGCCATATCTTTGATGCTATAATTTAGCTCTTCCGTGTTATTTTAGTAATAATATAGTCAGTTTGATTTTATGCACATCTGCTGGTGATATCCATTTCTGTAGCATCATTTGCGTTATTTGAAGGCAGTGTTAGGTATGAAGAAATCATTGGCATCACTGACATTTATATGTTGGACTCCTACTTCATTTTGGTTTCCTAAGCTCTACACTTCAATTACATTTTTTTAATGTTTCCAAATTTGGCATTCCAGTCTTTAATCACAAGTTTTCTTGCATTTTCTGACAATTTTAAATTAAACTTGATCTAAAACTCATCAACCTCCTCTTTTTTTGTATCAGTGGTTGGAACATCAACTTGGATGGTTGTTATAGTAAAGGAGTGTCCATGAAGCCAAATTGGTATTATCTGGCCATTGATTGCCTTGTAGCCAGGCAATGTTTGTGCTATGGCCTTCCTAATTATAAAAGCAATGCCATTCCTTCATTTTTGAAAATCTAATAAGCAGTGTGATTTTCTAACTGAAAGTGTCCAATTCCAATTAACAATCTCAATTTGTTGATATATGTCATTTTGTAGGGTATTTTTTTCATCTTTCACTGCCTTTGAGCTTTACCATGTTTGTGTTTCTTACATTCCATGTTCTCATTTGCTTTTGCAGCGTTGGATTGTTTTCCCCCTGTGCGTCAACATCAGCAATTACATTTGAGGCTTAATCTAACCATGCAACATCATTACTACATTAAAAAAACCTCCAATGTTTCTTTAAGTGGTATATTGAGTGTCACTTGTCCTGAGAGGCCCATCAGCCAGCACTATATTGTCAATCATTTTATATTTTCTACCCACGTGGCTTTCTTGAAAAAAAATATGAGTGGTTTATTATATTGGATGATTGTTATAAGATTACAACCACTCTTTCAGTGACCCTTGAATATTGTGAGGGTGCCAAATGAGTGGCACTTATGACAGTCCTTAAAGTTTTGACTGTTGCAGCATCCCTGCAGCCATGTGATCACAATTTGGGTGCTTGTCAACCACTATAGTGGTTACAATATCCCATGATCATATGGCTACTTTTTCTCCCCAAAAGCACAACTGTGGAGTATGAGATCCTAAGGATCTTAGGAACACACCCCTACTTACATTCCATAGCATACTTCTGTCTACAGCACCCTTCCACCTGCTCACACTCATTGGGCACCAGTCTGCAGCCCCCACTGCCCCACCAACTGCCCTTGCTGGCCTGCTTGCATCCCTACTGCAGGCTCATGGCACCCATTATCACGCACCCCCTTACTCCTTGCCTGGGACTCCTGTCTCCTTTTGTTTAACAATCCCCATGCTTCTGGGGTTAGGGCAGCAACTGGGATTTCTGGATTGTCATTGCTGAGCATTGTGTTCCCTTAATATCGTGCTTTATGACTACACCACTTAGCAATGGAAATTTCAGTTCCAGTTGCCATTGTAACTTGAGGACTACCTGTATCGCCTGTGCTGTATGAATTGATGCCTTTGCCATTGTCACTAAATCTTCTGCCTCCAGCATCTTTCTATATTGCTGCTGCCTGATATAGGTTCCTGCTTGCTTTAGTTGAGCAGCTGGGATGACCTTCATGTTTTGGATGACATTGCTAGGAATACAGTATATACTCTTGGCATATACTCCCAACATTTTCAGTCATCCTTCTCAAGAACACTCCCCATGATGAGGCAGCACAGCAAGATTTAGGTTTGCTGGGATATGTGTATGCACAAAGCTACGCAGCCTGTTAATATCATTGCTTATGTGCTTCCTTAAGAATGCCCTCAGCATAAATGATTAGACAGTTGAAATCCTTGCTGCTAACCATATTATAAAACTGTCACGTAGTACAGTGACATCTTTGAGATATAGAAGTGCTGCTAATATTCAGTGAACAAATGTTGTATTTTGTTATTGTTTATCGCCAGATTTTTGAAAGATTGAGGCTTTGTCATGCCCAGAAAAGGCTGTTCTGTTCTTAACCTTTAATAGGCAGTCTAAGAGCATTTCCTGGATCAGTAATGGGACTTTTCATCCTAAAAGTACCATGCACGAATGAAAAAAGACACTTCCCCCCAAATATCTTGAATAGATGGGATCGTCTTTCCTTTCCCAAAGAGAAGCAGACATTATTGATGAGCAAGAGATGAAGGCACCTGGCTGGACGTAATGTAAACTCATATACTGCACAGGGACAAGAGATGGAAAGAGCAGGAGAGAGGGAGATTCTGGCACCACCTCTGCCTTGTTTAGAGTGAGAGCTCTAGGCATAAATGGGGTATTCATACAGGAAAAGCTTTCCGTAACCTGAGATGCTGTGGTATTGCCATGTCTCCTGTGAAGGTGTACATTTGTCCTGTAAGTTTGTACAGCGTGGCTGCTCATTATTTAGGTAGTTTCATTTTGCCTCAGCCAATGGCAGTTAGAAGCAACGTGGTCTATTTTTCTCTGTGTCTCAAATCACCCCACTCCTTTTCAAGGAAGGTTGCAGCAGTAGATCAGTGATACTGAAGTAAATAATGAAAAAGATGAAGGAAGGGCCATATCCAGGAAGATGTCTGATGCCTCCTTGTGTCTGAAAATATAGTAAAGTTGGCAAGAACTTCTTATGGTAGTTTTGCCAGTCAACTGAGTAAGTGATACTTACATTATACACGTCACAGTGCTTCAATTTCACTTCCTCTACAATTGCAATCAGTGTTACCCAGATACTATTGCACTCTTATATAATCGCACGAAGTCACTCGTTGCACAAAAAGTTGTTATGTTTGTGGAACTGGAATTATTTGGCAGGAACATAGCTGGCAGAAAATGGAACGATGGATTTTTGTAAATAATCTCATTCAGCGCAAGAAAGTCAGAGTGTCCAGGAATAACAGGGAAAGGAATTTTTGCAGAGCTGCTGTCTGCTTGATCTCCCTACAGTTTTTGGGGTCTTCCTTGATATAGCCACATATTCTTCTGCTTTTTCTTTACAACGATGAAGGAAAAACTGGCTTGAAGCACATACACACACACATAGAATATACAATTGCATTAAAATCGTAGTTTAAAGAAAAAGTAGGTTTGGCTGCTAACACTGCTCTTCTCTGGTTTTGCAGGATGTTTCATCTCGGAGATGAAACAAAGCTGAATGTAGATATTGCTCAGAGAACTATTCCCAGTAACAGGCTTTTTATCTCCCTTGTTCAGTCCTTTGGAAGCCAGGCACAGTTTCTACACTCTCAAGTCAGAGTTTTGTGATATATTGCTGAAAAGACTACTTATGATGGTGAGCATATGACAAATCTGGGTCCCCCCCCCTTCTATTTCCTGGTTCTAGGCAATTGCATCGGATTTCTGGAAGGAGCTGTGCCTCTCCTTGCCACGGAAAGTATCTTATCAAGGCCTCAGGGGGGATCCTCAAACCTATCTCCAGGAAGACAAGGATCCGATGCTGATTCTTCATAGCAACTATCCAGAATTCCAGGGGGACTCTCACCCTGAAGGAGACATTGGTAATAACACAATATCATATTATCTCTGTCGCTGTTTCTTAACAGAATGGCTCTGAAGCAAGCAGGGGTGGGATTCAAACTTTTAAACAACTGGTTCTGTGGGCACAGCTTAGGTGGTGGGCGTGGCTTGGTAGTCATGTTATTGGTTGGGCATGGCCAACTCAATATCACTCACATCGAGGCACGCATCTCCTCGCTTGGCCTCTCATGACTGTGGAGATGCTGCAACAGTTGTGAGTGTGAAAAATGGTCATAAGTCACTTTTTTCAGTGCCATTGTAACTTTGAATGGTCACTCCACACAAGCAAAGTACCAGCAAAGAAGTGGGAAAAAACTCCAGAGACGTTCCAGAGACAGGAAGTCTAGTCCTGCCAAGAATGTAATAAGGGTTAACGGAGAGGCAGTTTCTGTCAGCAACACCAGAATGTTTCCTTCCTGCCTTCCTTACAGGATTAGGCCAGTAATTTCTTCTAACAACCGGTTCTCCAAACTGCTTAGAATGTTAACCGGTTCTAGTGAATAGGTGCGAACTGGTAGAATCCCACCCCTGGAACCAAGCCTTACTGGGGCACAGTTCTCTAGCACAAATATCATTGTGACATAATTGATGTTAATCATATCGATTCTGCTGGGGATTTACTTTTCTTTCGTCTTTAATTATTCCATGAAAAGTCTTGACAATTGGAGCTAATGCTTGAAAGAAAGAAAAAATGGAATTGCCAAAGTATCAAAAGGCAACCATAAACAAGAGCATTAATGGGTCAAGACATAAGGTTTTCACAGACACCTAAATGAGTTCAGCAGTCTGGCTAAATTCATCATTTTGAGCAGATTGCCACATAAGCAACACTGTCTATGGAAAAGACAGAACCTCACTCACTTAGTCAACTGTTTATACTAAGCAGAGAAGTAATTTCTTGACTGGTAATGGCAGAAAGAGTGAGATAGCTTTAGGAATTGGAGACTTGAGTGAAGGCAGCCAGGTTTATTCTCCTAAATGAGTAGGTCCACCTTTTGGCTTCTCTAGATGAAGGTAACATCTTGGCTAAAGAAGCTTCCTTGGCTTGTCTGGTACAAGTGCCTGTTTTTGCACATTGCTAGAAAGCAGTTGAATGCTCTTGACTGCAGTTACTTTGGGCTAAGATCTCGTGCTCTGAAAAAGACCATGCGTGTTCAAGATCACGCATGTCCAAGAGAGCCAATGGGGCTTTTTGCAGCGGGTTGCAAAAAGCTGAAAATGACTCCTGACTGTGCTATGTACATTTGTTTCCATTTTGCTCCTAAGAAATAGATCTTTTTCATTCATTCACAAAAGATAAAACCTGGTCATTCTGAAGTTACAGTGGAGACAAATGAAAAAGTATGTATCCCCTGAGAATTACTTCTAACTCAGAAATTCTCTTCTTCCAGTCCAGGTTTGCACAGTTAAGTTTAAATCACCCTAATTAAAGTAGCTTAACTTTCATGATGTTTATATTAGGACATGTTTGCCTAATATTTTAATATTTTTGATTGATTATTGCCCTCAGTGCCATTCTTTGCTATTTCTGTGACTTCCAAATGACCTAATGATGGTAGAATGGCATCAGTTTAACCAGCCCTGCTTTGCGCAAGCACCTCTGGCCTCAGTCTGTGTAAAAGTCAAAAAAATATTACAGCCATTGAACCTCCTCAGCATACTGTGTGGCACAGTTTACTGCATGCTAATTAATCCATACGTGTTTATAGATTCATATTAAATACTGATCAGCAAGCAAGACAGGAGTTTCCATAAAACAATTCACAGTAACCATAAATTGTGTATTGGTATATACTGTAGATAGATGGAGATTGCATTTTAATTATTGTGATAAATTTATTTTAATGTAGCAATATGGGAGGGTGGCATATAATCTTTTCATTAAGTAATATTCTAACTTCCTGTGTCATATATATGCCAATATATCAAAACTGAAAAAAGAAAGCAATAAAAAGAATGAATCAGAATTGGAAGGGGATATTTATATTTTAGACCATCAAGACCATCTCAGTGCAGGAATCCAAATTAAAACATGCTTAATATATTTCTGTCTAGCCTCAATCAAACATATGCAATGAAGTTGAATCTCTTACCTCTCTGGATAATTGGCTGCAGTATTGAGCTACTCTTACTGATATATATGTTTCTGCATGACATACTTTACTGTATGTATCAAAAATATCTCAGAAACCACCAACAAACTATTACAACCACATGACACCACCATAGCACACAAGCCTATTAAAGACTTCCAAAATATCCTAAGTAAAACCAAAAGACCAAGGAGCCACAGAATAAGCACTTTGCAATAGCACTTAGATTTATATACCAGTTTACAGTGCTTTACACCCTTCTTTAAGCAGTTTACAGAATCAGCCTATTGCCCCCAACAATTTGGGTCCTCATTTTACCCACCTCAGAAGGATGGAAGGCTGAGTCAACCTTGAGCCTGGTGAAGTTTGAACTGCCAAATTGCAGTCAGCAGAAGTAGCCTGCAGTACTGTACTCTAACCACTGTGCCACCGTGACTCATAAAAACAGGAGTCATCTTCAACATACAGTGTAAGGACTATAACAGCCTGTCTGGGTTCCAGAAAACCCCAACACCAATCAAAAACTCTGAGACTTCCAAAGCTGACACGGCTACTATCTAGGACAAACAGGCCGAAGATTAACAGAGCTCATCCATGAACACCAATTAGCAGGAAATAAAAAGACCAAAACTTCTCACCAGCAATCAACACCCAGAGGAGCCAGAGGTTAATACTAAGATTAACATTAGACCAACAATCCAGAAGTTAAACGATACCCCAAACGAGGAACCAGCAGCTCAGAGAAACAAATAATAACAACTTAAGGAACCACTAAGATCCCACCAACATCGACAGGACAAGGCACTTGTATATAAAATGAGAGCAAACCCCACTCCCTTGTAGAACTGATGACATTACCTGCTTTCATAATGAAACGTCTGCAAGAAAACAGTCAAGCTCAGAGAGCACCAAGGACCCCACAGTTTACCTCAAGCTACAAATATTTTCTTCTTTTGAGATTCTTTAGGTATTTGAAGGCTGTCCTCATATCCTCTTCACCGCAGTTCTCTGAAAGATAAATATGGACTTCTTTCCATTGAATTTAAATTTTCTTGGTCAACCTAACTGCCCTTCTCTATTCTGTGTCCAATTTGTTTGACCCCTTCTTAAAGTCAGAAGGTGTCCACAAGAGTAGTTTACTTGAGGTGGGATCTGACCAAAGTAGAATAAAATATAGAACAATCACTTCCCATGATTGGAACAAAAACGAAGAGCGGTCTAGAAGCCTCTTTTTATATAGGTCCCCTGATTTGGAAACTCGGCTTCTGTTGTTACAACTTAAATTGCATTTACTATTTTCCCAGCCACATCATGTGATTGATTCATATGCAGTTTAAAATTGTTTTGTGTTTTCCTTTTTCAAAGGTACTATTCTTAAATGAGGTACCCCATCACACATTGGGGTCCTTGATTTCCATTCTCTCAAACAAGAACTTCACATATGCATCTCTCCTTCGGTTACATTCAGCCCACTCCTTTAACACATCCAGATACTTTGCAATGTTATAACAGCCATCTTGCTGTCTTAGCCAATTTCCTCCCATATGCAAATTTGATAAACATCCCTGCCACTTCTTGATCCAAGTCATTAACAGAAATAGTGTGTTATAAATTATCTTAGGCTGAATTTTATGGTACCCATCTTGATCCCTCGCTCCGGTCGGTAAGGACTCTTATCCTTAAGGACTCTCCAGCTTGATGAGCAGTCTTTAATTGCAATTTCTGTGACAGCTATGTCTCCACTTATTCTTATGCCATTCAGTTTTTACTTCACTAACTTACTACTCAGAACATTACATGGCTTTTTGTTGGACATTTTGTTGAAATCTAGATGTATTCCTCTACAACTTTCCCACATTCTACTCAACAGGCTATCCAATTTAAAAGAAAATATAATAAAATTAACTCTTTTGTTTCTGGCAAAAACGTGCCAGTGATAACTGGTAATTATTTCAGTGCTTTCAGAGTACTTAGGGGCTGCTCTTATGACCTTCTGTAGCAGTGGTGGCTAACCTTTTTCGGCTCCCATGCTGAAAATTGTGTGCACGCTCACATGCCAGTACCCAGAAAACAAAGCGTGTTGAGGCCCCCATGCCCCCTGCACATGTGTACGTGACCCCTCCTGCGTGCTGCATATCTGTGCATGAGTGCACATCTCCCATGCCCCCTGCCCCCACGCATGTGCACCAGATACCCAACAATCAGCTGTTGGGCGGTGGCGCACGCATGCGCAGTGGGGCTCTTCTGGGCGACCTCTCACATGCTGGCCATAGGCTCACCATCACGGTTCTATAAAGTTTGTCCAAATATTGATGTCAGATTGAGGTATCTGTTGTTGCTGGATCCTCCTCCCCACTTTTTGAAAAGAACAATAGTTATTCTCTGTCAGTCATCTGACATTTGATCCCTCTTAAGGATTTTTCAAATATAATTTATAATGCTTTGGCCAGACTATCACTTGACTCCTTGAGTACCCTAGATGTGATCTATCCAGCTCTAGACATTTAAACTCATTCAAAGTAACATAGAAGTTTCTCTGGGTTTCCAACAAGCTGCAATACTGCCCTTTTAATCTGTTCTTCACTGTTGCTTGTTGGAACACATCCCTGCCATTCTGGCAAAGTAGCCATTGAATAGCTTTGCTTCTATTCTGAAGAGCCTGAAACCTGGAGATATTGTACCTACTTCATATTATTCCATTTTTAGGCATTTAGGCCTAGGGGCACACATTAGATCAATGGTAGGAAAATACCTCTGTGGGCATTCATTAAATCCAGAAGATTTAATGAACCAGTCCTGGCATTGGGGATTTGCTGATACAGGCTGTGCTTGCAGGGCAATACATTTTAATTTTAGCAACAGGAACAAAATAAGTTTAGCGTTCATAAAAGATTTACCAGCATCTGGCAGCACAAAACCAAGTTCAAGTTATACTCTCCAATTTTAATTGTTGGAAAAAATAAAAGCAGTTCATGAGCTTGGCTGGCCTTCCCTTGTAATTGTGGCAGCAGTGGTTGCCTTATTTTGCAAAAGGGCTATGTTCACTATCATGAATAAGGATTGTTCATGTCACGGTATTGGTCTGCAGTTTATTGGAAGCTCTCATTTGTCTTGTACAATAGCATCTTTGGATGTTCAAATCTTCTTTCTAACTTGCATGAAAATTATCTCTTAGGAATTATAATTTGGTTTCTCTTGTCTTTTCCCCAACCAAAATATCAGAATTAAAAAAGGAAATTCAAATACAAATACAGAATGAAATAAATAAGTCCTGATTTCAGTCAACCTTTGTAAAATGCACGCAAAATATAATCAAGATAATTTGTCTATCTTTTGTATCCAAAGGTTGCTTGGCAGTGTGATCTGATAATAATACAATCAACAAATCATTTATAAGAAAAGATAATGAACCTGTCTGTACTACAGGGCAAGTGTCCACAGAATGTCTTGCTTTTGGCATGTTACCTGCTGAATACTAGCCATCAAGGCTCCTAATATTACTGAGCAATTCATGTTGAAGAAGAATTCTGCAGTGGAAAGAGTTGTATGACTCATTCTATTGCCAAACATGATGAGTCATATTTGTGTACAAAATGAAGTAATTATGGAATGGCATTAGTATCACAATGTATATATCTAGCTGACATAATTAAATACAAATTAGATCTCAAGAAAAAAAAACTTTGCATTTCTGAGGACAGACTGGAAACATCCGTGTGCTGCTCTTGTTGTTGACAATATTTAGGAATTAAGGAAAGGGAAGGAAGTAGAAGAACGGGCTGAATTACATCTGCACTTTTACCCAGCCATAAACTTCTAGTTTTCTCCTGCACAGTACATTCGTACAAAATCTGCAAATATATATGAAGATGGGCAATGTAGACAAGAGTAATCAAAATGGCTTTGGGAAAGGAGAGAAAGCAATGTAGTACCTTGCTGTGATTGGAGCATGAAGGCTAAGAGCCATTCAAATTGTCCCTAATTTTGATTCAGAGCACCATCTGATGTGATGTTTTTTGCATAAAATGTAGATGAATAAATGTGTAATCAAGGCTAAGAATAAATATTTAGTTTATATATATTTAAGAGCCCTGGTAGCACAGTAGTTAGAATGCAGCATTGCAGACTAACTCTGCCCGCTGCCAGGAGTTTGATCCCGATTGGCTCAAGGTTGACTCAGCCTTCCATCCTTCTGTGTTCAGTAAATTGTTGGGGGCAATATGCTGACATTTGTAAACTGCTCTGGGAGTGTTCTAAAGCACTATGTAGTAGTATATAGGACTTTGCACAAGATATATTTTTATTGAGTTGAACTTTGCTACTTGTTTCTTCTCTCCGATTCTGTTGCTTTTGGTAGTTTCCAAATCCACCATTTGTGTAGGGTTATCTATAAATTAGCTGAAGAATTTCTTCATACAGTCTCTGCCCTTGGATGGATTTTGCCTGCTATTGCAGAACAGAAGGCTGGACTAGGTAGGTTTTGTGGACTGAATCTGAATGGATTTTCCTATGTTCTTATTATTGCTCTATTATTTATTTGTTATTTATACATTATTCTAAAGGCTAGCAGTTCATATCTGTATGAACAAAAAAACATAACATACAATAAAAAACAAAACTCACAACAACTACCTTTCTATCCATTGTATTGTGCTAACCAGTATGAGGCAATTTCAGTTTTCACGCATTGTGGAATACCTATAAAAAATTCCATTTTTACAGCCTTTTGAAATGAAGCCATACTGGCCAGGCAGCTGATGTTCCTGTTGCTCGCTCCCTAAGTAACCTTACTCCACTGGACAACCTACTGATACTATACTATAAAGATGAAGTAAGAGTGCTTCAGCACTCTTACCTGAACAGGACAGGTTTAGTTCTTATTGTGCTAAGTCAAGCTCACTTCCTGACTTTCTCAAGGCATGATTCCTGTTGCTTCAGTCTTCCCAGACTTAGCAACTTGGGATCTGATTGCTGGAGGGAAATCTTGTCAAGTGCCCCTTATGTTCACAATCTTCAATCAGACCCTTAATAGGACTGCCTACAAGATTAATGGGAAAACTCTTAATTATGTCAAAAACCTTCTGGATCCCAAGACATAAGGGTGGCTCATCCTAATTGAGCCTACAGAGGTCACTGGTGACATACTTGAATCAGAAAGTGATCTGATCTTTGCAATAGACTCAAGATTGCATCCTCCATCTCCAGTTCAGTTGTCAATGTCTTTGATACAAATGAAGTTCGATTTGTGTGCACAACTGTGAATCCCAAGATTACTGGGAAAGTCCTATGATTGCCATGGAAGGCATAAAATCTGAGCCTTTCCAGATCCTCCCCAAAGCCATGGAAATTAAAGTCACCCATTAACTAAGGCAAGAGAGGGGGAGATTCCATATTCAGCCAAAATTCAGGAAGGGAACTCGCTGGGCAACCGGCAGACAATACATCAGCAGCATTCCCATCCTTTCCCTATAACACAACCTAACAGACAGGCACCTACATGCTGACAATGAAGACCAGCTTCAAATCATATAAATTGTCACAGAATAACATTGCCACCTCCTTTCGCTCCTTTCCTTGATACAGGTTGGTGTCCCCAAATCTGGGATGCCAAATTTTGGGGGGGAAACCCTTGTATTTCTATCCTTGCTCATCCAGTCATGATAATATATGCAGAGCAGTATCACTTGCTAATGTTAGCACATTAACATACCATAAATGCATAACTGGAGGTTAGTTGAAAGTTGTAACCATAAGTTAGTGAAGAGTAACTAATTTGTTATTTCCAAATTTAATTAACAAATTCATTTTAACTTTAAAAGTCTCTCCAGTTTCCTATGGGTTGAAAAATCAGCCTCTTTACTACTGTCTATGCCAAGTGAAGGCATATTTTGAGGTAAAACACGCGGAGTATGTGTAAAACTACCAACAGAAGATCAGACCATTTGAAATCTCAGAGGTTTGTAATTGGAGTTCTCTTACAGAGTTCAAGCTTTGATCGAAGTATTGATCACAAATAATTTTAATTCATTTCCTCCAGTAGAATTTCCCCCCAGTCATAGATTTTTTGTATTTCATGTAATTTAATTATTACGCTGACTTAATAGCATTTTGCAGACATATTAGATCCAGAACAATGTATAATTTGCTGGAAAGTAAGCTACTTAAAATGGTATTGAATGGGTTCAGTGTTAGATATAGCTTCACTCTGAATATTTTGTGGGAATTATAATGTGCTCTGTTACTTTAAAGTAACTAGTCTTGAGTGAACATTTGGAAATATTATCCCATGATCCCTTCTTTTCTGTCCCACAGTAATCCGGAGACCAATTATCAAAGGTCTACCACCCCCTGTTAAGATTGATCCTGACGGTCCATGCCTCGGAACAATGGAAGAGGTACAGCTTGAGGAAAACCAGAAGAACGAGATAGACATTTCTGATCTGGGATCTCGCAACTATGATGCAAGGACAGACTTTTACTGCCTAGTGACAGAAGATGATATATAAGGCTTGCTAAGATATTCCTGGAGAAATGATCTTTTTTTTTTATAAGCATGGTATTCCTTGGCAAGGACAATATGCTTGATTAATCTCTTTCATCCAGAACTGTCCGTGAAGTACTACAGAATTCTGACCCGCTCTTAACACTTCTCTACATGTCTCTCCCTAACTTAGATAAAGGATAGCAGTGAAAGAAATGTTCAGATGACACAAAACTATGAGTAGCCAAGACTTCAGGCGATAGGAACAAAACTGCAACAGCTCAGCGGCTTGGCATCCTTTTGTTGGGCACTGCATTAAACAGGGCAATTGTACAAAATGGCCTCTGAACCTCCTACATGATTCTATAAGCAATCGCCATTGGCAAGGTGCAAGGTTTTGGAGAATGTCTGGTTATCTTATTCACAATAGTGCCATACAATGTGAGATGATTATCCTGCATCAGATTACAATGGTGGGACTTATCTAAGCAACAAGCTGGGCAAACTTTTCGGTTACTGAGAACATCTCCAGGCGGGCATTGATATGTGAGAAGTGAACATTGATAGCTGGACGTTATCAGTGTAATTGAAATTATAAAGGGAAATATCAACACTAAAGAGATCCGAGACTCCTCTTTGCTAGAAAAAAGAAAAGAATGGCTAGTTTCTATAAGAAAATTTTCAAGTTGCGGTTGAAATACATCTAGAGGGCGCTAGATTGATTTTATTCAACTTCTCAAGCATTCTTAGCCTTTGGTAGCCAAAACTCAGGTGGTGTCTTTACCAGCCTTTCAGATAAACACATTGTATGAAGGCATTCTGTAATCTTTCAGAAACTACAGGTCATATCAGGTGCATGCAGTGAGTAAAGTGATGTAGGATTTAAATTGGGATGAAGAGGAAAGAGAGGGGAAGATGCAGTTTGATTGAAAAAAAACCTCGTGGTTGTTGAAATCTTCTAAGGCAGCCTGAAATATTTCAATACACATGAATCCAAAAATCTCTTGCTCGATTGCATTGGTAGACTTCCTTTTTTTCCCCAGGGGAAAATATGTATAATAAGAGTATCCAAATTAATTTCAATAATAACAAGTGGTTTGAAAGAGAAAAGGGGAAAAAACACCTTAAACGCCTATTGGTAGGTGAAAGGGCACTTCCATGGGAAATGGAGAAGGGATGCAGAAATGCGGCTGAGAAAGAGACCAAAAAAAAGAGGAGGAAGAAGAAGAGGAAGAAGAGGAAAGGGAAGAGGAAGAAGTCAGAAGATGGGTAAGTATGATATCAAAATGTGTAAAACTAATGTCTTATGGAGTATCAGGGATTCAAGCACATTGGGATAGATTCCTTTTAAGATTATGAATAGCTGCTCAAGTTTCTCAAGTCCAGAAATTAGGACTAACTCTTCTAAGAAAGCAGTTAGAGGCATATTAAAATTGCCCCTCAAGTTTCATCCAAATTAAACTCAAAAAGTTACTTTAGAGAGCAGCAAAGTTAATCTTGCAATGGTATTAGGAAAGGTGCTTCTTTGTTTTTAGATCATTGTAATGACAAAAATTCACCTTCCTCTTTTTTTTGTTAGAAAAAGATTGTCCAAAAGATTGTCTAATGCATTTTATTTTTTTCAGACAAATTTCTATGTATCAAGGGACCAAGAACCATAGGAACTATTCAAGAAGCCAATCTTAGACTGTGCTTAAGTACTGGTTTGTGCGATTCAAAAGGCAGCTCTCTGTGGAGATTCTCAGTCATCCAGGTCATAGTTGTCTCAAATGTCCTTTTTTCCTTCAAAAGGCAGCTAGACTGTTTTTTTCTTTGAGGAAGAAGAAGAAAACATTTTGCTTCTTGGATGGGAAATGAAATATTTTCTTATTCTTCCTCTAGGAAAAAACAGTCCAGTTGCTTTTTGAAGAAAAAAAGCACCTTTGAGTCAAAAGGCAGTTATTTTTATTTTAAAGATTGGAATGCAAATAAAGCATTGTGATTTTAGTCATCTGCAGCCCATTTCCTTTAAGTATAGGCAGATATGATCAATGGCTTACCAGGCGTCAGTCTCAGAATCAAAACTGAAGCCATCTTTTTCATGAATATCAAGACAGCAAAGCTGAACTGGGAAAAATGGCAGCTTTTTCGAGCAAGAACAGAGGTAACTTCCAAGACCTTCCAAGAGACAGGCTGCACTGGTGCACACACCAGCCCACCATTCACACGACCCGGTTGCAAATAGGTCACAGTCTGGTAGTGCATTCTTATAAAGACTTAATTGTTGTCAATGCAGTTGCATATGTGTTTTACAAAGGTCTAGATCAGGGGTCTTCAAACTTGACAGCTTTAAGACTTGTGGACTTCAACTCCCAGAATTCCTCCTCCAGCCATGTTAGGTCAGGAATTCTGGGAGTTGGTCCACAAAGTCTTAAAATTGCCAAGTTTGAAGACCCTTGGTCTAGATTTTGAGTTCAGTGTTGTTGCTAGTGTTAAGGGCAAGAATTAGAAACAATTGGCCCATGTTACGTTGGCAAGACATTTGATCTGAAATTAAGAAGGACGATCTATGGATGAACAATAAGGTTCCTTCCTATTCCTTTTGTTTGCGTGCGCTCTCTTATTTTGTGTCATCATGGTACGTTGACTTCAATACTCCCACCATTCTTAATTGCTTTTTGGTTTAACAGACAGGTTTTGCTCTCCCTTGAAACGCTCCCATAAAAGCTCCACCAAGTGATGTTGTTGCATCACCTGCATATTTTCTTCTTCTTCTAAAGATGCTGCCCTCACGGCTGCAAGGTTGCAGTTCTTTCTGCTCCAGTAAACACAGGTGACAGTTTATGACTGTAGCTGTGCCTGAATGGCTGCTCATGCGAAGCCCTCGTGATTCATCAGTTAAAGTCTGAGTCTTGCCCTAGAGCAGAAATAACCCAAGGTGGGGTTGAGTGGCAAAAGACAGGAGGCCATCACATTCCTAAAGGAAGGAGCTTGCCTTTGCTTTCAATCGGTACTGAGGGTGTTTTGTTCAACTTGCTGTTTCAAAAAAAAATAAAATACATTTCCTTTAGGCAGTGCTGGTTTCTACTGTAATTCCTGCCTACTGCATTTTTCTTTAACTGCTTCAATATTTATATGCAGGAAGAATGTTTTCTCAAAAGGCCTTTGAGTGATAAGACTAACTTTGGGTGATAAGATTGTATAATTTGACCTAATGCGGTACAGGCTGGACTCAGTCTGGCTTTGCTTCAAGATAGTGAACTGTAGCACCAGATGTAATTAGGCAAAAATGCAAAACTGTAAATGCTTGTGAAAATATTTGCTTTGCAAAGCATCTTGGGAAAACATGAGCTCATCCCTTCTACTGCAGAGTTAAGGTGTTTTCCTAGTTTATCCAAACCTGAATGAGATGAAATAGACCTTGACATTGTCAAGAATGACGTTTTCCTTTCCTAGCCTGTCCTACGTGGACAAACCTGGACTATGTACTTACCAGTTTTATTAACAGCAATGTTTTACCTTAAAAAATTCTAGGAATTATAACTGGGTGGCAGTGCTGGAAATTCTGCTAGAGAGCTGTGGAACAGGAGAATTGTACTTATTAAGTTAATAACAATACCAATCACATAAAAAGGAAGTAACACCAGTTACATTTTTTAATGTTACTTGCTAACAAATGAGTCTGCTGGAGATGGATAGCCAGCAAACGCCCAAGCTGGGGAGCAGACTTTGCTCTAATTATCTAGTTGGTAGGAGGGCAAAGGCCTCTGGGAAGGGAAGAATTTTGAAGGCAAGCAGACTTCCTATTATTTGCATCAGTTGTGGTTACATACTGTAAAGAGACAGAATTTTAAACAGGTTCAATTTGTCCTACGGGCAAGAAGAAAAAGGTGCAATTAAAAGGCTTATCTCTATCCTTTTGTTAAAGCTACAAGAGCCCTGGCTCTCCTCTACAGCAGATAGCTTTCAGAGTTAATCAACTCAGTGTCTTTTCTTTAGAGCAGGATTTCCCAATCTTGGCAATTTTAAGATGCATAGATGTCAACTCCCAGAATTCACTTGCTGCCTAGGGAATTCCAGGAGTTGAAATCTATGTGTCTTTAAAGTTGCCAAGATTGGAAAACCCTGCTCCAGAGAGTTGTTAAACCCATCCAGAGCTATTATCTTTCATTCCCTTGGATTTAACTTTTCACATGCTGCTCCTACAATGGCTCAGGCTTCTCCTATGATGGTTCAGGATTTCCTAGAGCACAGAGAAAGAGGTAAGGCCTTCCTCCAACAAAGATTAAGAAATGGTACTGTCATTTGCAGTTTATAGGGTTTGATTCAAGGACATCTTATTTGTTCAGATCTCAGCTGCAGTCCAAACTAGCCATGTTTATCTTAAACCATAAAACAGATGACCAAACCAAAACCAATTAAACTACATTATCATAACATGTTCTACAAACTTGGCCATCCCATTAGGCTGTTGGGATTTGGTTGGATGAACACAGCCAAGGTAATGTGTTGTGTAGCTGTATCTGGTACATAAAAGGTTGAAACTATGTCTTGAGCATTGCACAATGGTCCACTTTTCTCCTAGGTTTAGATTTGAGCAACCAATTTCATGGCCAAGGCAACATATCCCACTGTGATGACCCAGGGTGGGATACAAAACAGTCACAGAAAACAGGTGAAGCCCCTTTTATTCCTTCAGTTTGCTTCCAAGCTCTGAATATCTTTGACAGAAGACAAAAAAAGCCTCCCACAGTTACATGAAGAAGGAAAAAAGCAACACAAACCAGGCCAGATAAGGGCTGGAGGATGTCCAGAGATAACATAGACTGGGAAGGAGGCCAAACTCAGGAACTATAAACTAGAGATATTTGCACACTTTGTTTCCAGCGTTCGCCAGTACGCAGGTCCATACTCTTATTCAGTCATCACACCTGCAGCCCATGAAGAGGATCAAGGCCCTCTCCTCCTGAGTAGACCACATTTCTCCCTTATCCTTTCCTCCCTGCGTGCCCTAGGATGGAGAGGGGATGGGCCTGGGTCCTCGTCTGACTGCTCAGCTGGTCTCTGCCCTTCCCCAGCCTCCTCCACAACCTCCGGAGCCACACTTCCACTCCCTCTCTCGGCTGTTCCTCTTCTCCCTCAGAGTCAGTCTCCACCAGGGGCATGACACCCACATTGCTCTGATGGAGAATTGGCAGGCCTGCTAGGAAAAGCAAAAGATTGACTCTTAAAAAAGATGGTCTCAGGGAAAGAAGTAGGTTAACCAATTAGCAGTAGTTTTATCTAGCTGCTCAACATGTTAAGCTCTAATCATTACAACGATCAGGTTGGATTATTACATCTTATCTCTAGAAGAAGATAGCAGGTGAGAAATTAACAGTCTAATTTTCAAACATTGGTCTCAAGCATCCTGCCTGAAATTGAGCACAATGGTACCAGAAAGATACAACCATAAGCACCTCTGTCCTAGACAGAAAGTAGATGTTTTCCCAGGGTGATATGAATGCCTCCTCCTAGTATTCAATTACTAAAGCATCGCATAGTAAACATTCTACTCTCCTTTGACCACCTCATAATTTAAATGTCATTGATTTTTCTGTAGGTAGTTTATTTGTTCAACACCATTGCCTGCCAGGAGAAAGACTTCACAATTATTTTACTCATAGACTTTTCCCCCTGCTCATTGGACATGT